CCTACGGGGATAAAAGGCGTGAAGTTATGTTATGTTATGTTATTAGAATAAAACGTTGATTCATTATATCAGCAAAATAGAGTTATTAGGATTGATATGATAATTTAATTAGCAATTCGGATATCGTGCAATCATTGACTCTCTATTAAAATTGAAACATGAAATCATCAGCTCGCTAATGTAATGTAAGCTAATAACTACGGGAATGTTTCGATTGATTTCGGGGTTTGGAATAAATTGGATAAAGACTGTTTTTTGATTAGGGAATTTGGATTACTTGTCAGTAAGGTCGAAGTTATTTCTACATTGGGTTGATATTTAATATTATGACAAAGGTAAAGTGTCTAGAACTCTCTCTTTGCCAGGTTCATTCCATCTAAACATATCATTAAACGAGGCACCTACAAAATCCTTATAAAAATAAATTTTCACCTAATTACTTATGTATTCTCTTCATTTTTGTACTCTCAGTTTATTTCCATAATCCCTTGCATTAAAGATACATTTTTACTTTGAAACAACAACAATTTGGTATTATAATTTTTTTCCAAACGTTCGAAATGCCATGGATGTTCTTCCGAACTTCGAAGATATTAAAGAAATTTTAATTTTAGATAGCGTTTGATTGGACCCTCTTCTGCGCCTGTTACTTACAAACATGGCTAACTTTTATTATTATGAGATGGTCACATTGACTTCTACTGTTTGTTTCTTAAAGGATGTCTTAGTATTATAATGTGTTTGTATCTCCGGTGTTTACGAATCGAAACTACCTTTTCTTGATTGTTTTGAAATTTCATCAAAGCTATGTATTTTACTGGTAGTCGGTAGGTACTTTATTTGTTCTTAAAGGTTCTTAAAACATTGGAATATAGCTGTATTAGCTGTATATAACCAGTAACCGACATAATCAGCTGATTCAAATTCGCCAAGCCTCGTTACTTTATTAGGCAACGCGGACCCTAACACTGCCCACACACTGCTTTGATAGCCTAATTTGTATTGCTTCTACTGCCCATGCTCGTTATGACGAATGCATCAGCTGTTTATATTTATTACCTCTATATTCTTGTTATTGCGGGAAAATTATGCTTCAAAATATGTAGATACCTGTACTCGTAATAAGTTGAATTTCATTTATTAATTCAAAGTTATTTTATTCAAACGCTAAGGCACAATATAAATGTACTAAGGTACTAACGCTAAGCTAATAAGTATTAGGTTGAACTGTCAAATTCAGGGTACTTTACAAACGAAAAAATATTGCATGGTAAAGCAAATCCATATAGGTTCATACACATGTCCATAGGAAGCAGGGCCGATATAAGGCAGGTAATTACAGTAACAAGCTGTCGGTAAACTTGTAGCTATCCGATCGATTGATAAACACCCGCCACGTTGATTGACGACACTTGATGATCAATTAAGTCGCGTTCGCGTTGTCTATTAATACCCTTAAGCGCATTGCACCCTAAATGAATACTAAACAGAACTTTGTATTTCCTGTAGTAATCTTAATAGGAAGCATAGGTAATTTCAGATCAAATTAACTACTTGGAACAGAGTTGTTAATGTTAGAAAAAGCTGAGTTCTTTTCTAGACAATATTAGATACGTTGTCTATAAATATGTCTCCAAGGAAAAAGGCATATAGCAATGGAATCACATCGGGGTCAGGATCGCGCGGCGCGCTCACCAGGAAGGCCCTAAATGGCGATGCGAGTTGACTTTTTATCTCGTACCGTTACGCCATCGGCTCCTCTGTGACATCACTATGTCGCCACAATTACTAACTGCGACTGGCTTAAAGATAAACGGACAGCTGTTATAAGTAACGGGAAATTCTATGATCCTCATAAGGGCGCTCACAGAGCTGGATCGAAAATGCAGACACGACATTTAATTCTTATGATAAAGTTTTGGCTTAAGAAAGTCCAGATTTTGAACATAACTAACATTTATTTTGAACTGTGGATGTGTGGATACGTATCCCACAGTTCAAAATTGTACAACTTGTAGTTCATAGGTTGATAGGTACTAGTTGAGTTAAGGCCTCAAGTGGTATTCCTGATTACGGAACCTAAGATACTCGTAGTTAATTCTTAGTAATCATTGTGGATAAAGTGGCTCGTTAACAAACAAATAATGACTTCGATATAGGTATCTTTGCCTGAGGTAACTTAATTTAAACTCAGTTTAAGTCGTAGGAACGGCACGGCGGCGGGCGGTAAATAAGTAGGAAATATAATTAAATGAAAACGCATGAAAGATTATAATTGAAATGTTGTGTTACGACACGGAACATAACAAGGAATAAATAATAAGATGAGCACTTCAAAGTAATATTGGAAATAACTGTTGTTTCGCCTGTCTGTCAATATGTCAGAATATTTGCAGCCCTTGATGGAACGTTGTATGTATGTAATATTGAAGAGTAACGTTATGTATGTGTGTGCTGCATCGCCTTGTAAGATATTACTTGAGTTGAGGCGACTGTATTTCATATAAACATGTATTTAGAGAACAAAGTGTAGGTAGTATGTTGTTTTATACCACTCATACAATAGATAAGTACAGTACAGTTCATTGAAGTTCGATCGATTTAGTTTAGTAGCTCTTCAAAGTTAATGCACAACAAAAAAATAATAAGTTAAGTCAAGTAAAAACGGTTAACCTATCCATGCCGTGAGTCACAACGGTTGTGTCATACGGTCCAGAATAACTTTCCTGGGAGCAGCCACAACCGTTTTATTATTGCGACCTATTGCTCTTGTTGCTTTCAAAATACATGTGTTTTATGTTTTGACGATATTGCCAGTGAAAGCGAAGCTGTTAACTCGTTACTGGGAACAAGGTCGGGATTGTTTGTATAGGATCAGAAATTCAGAATTTAAAGATAAATAGTAAATAATTTAAATTTTAGTACTCAATGCTCCTTATTATAGTACCCAACAAAATCAGCAAAAGCACAGATTTTTCTTTTGTGATTTCAAATCGTCTGTTTATCAAAGGCAGACACATTTTTCAATTACTTAATTAGGTACGAATAAAATTAAGTTCTTTAAACCTACCCCCTCAGGTTTATACATTACCTGGTCTAGTACGAGTACCTAGAGAATACATTTGTACCTAAGTGTTGTACGGAACTTTGAATTTGAGGTCGGTAACCAAAACTAGAGTGATTTATTGCTTGTATTTCGTCACAGACGAAGTGTGGAACGGGTGTTGGTTCCATTCATTTCTCACTGTTAAATCAAACCAAACGGGACAGATGGTGATTATTTCTGTTCCCACCAACACTTGCCATTAGGTAATAACCTACTTTAGGTAGCTGAATTATTTACAAAAGGTACCTGGGTACTTACTACTACTACTGCTGCTGCTACACTTGTTAATGTTCTTTTTATTAATGTTGTTGTAAGAAATGACAAGCATTTTTTAAGACATACCTGAGTGTAGGTGACTGTTAATTACATTATTTAGATATGAATGAACTCTACAATTAGGTACATTACACAAAATAGACCTAAGTACCTACATACTCAAGTTTAATTACATTTAAGTTGTTGTTTCGAAACCAGAGTTTACTAACAACACATTTCTAATGGAGGTGCATGACCGCTAAGTTCATTGATATATCAAGACTGAGTGCTAAATTAAGAAATACGTTGTTTATACTATGTATTTGATTTAGCAACGATATTTGTCTATCATCCAGTTCAATGGGTTGACCGGCTGTTATCGTGCGCAACCACGATTTCAATACAATTTGAACAATAGGTACACTTATCTCATGAACTTGTGATCTTTGTGACAATTCCAACGGATTTCTTACTCGGATCATTTCGTGGACTTCTTTTGTGGGGAGTCTATTATTCAGCCAATCTCGCTTGCCGGTTTAAGTAAGATTTGTTATCTTGCTTTAACAGAAAACTTTGCTCTTTTTTACGAATTATTTTATCAAAGAGGTTTTTATTCCAAATAAAGTTTTATTACAAAGAGTTTATGTAAATCGCTAGAATTCTGATGAATAACTTGAAGGGATTATTTGAAAAGATTTTATAGTGAAACTCCAACAACTGAAACGTTTACGTCATGTTGCTTGAAAGCAATCAAATAATTTGCCTAGTACTGAAAGGCACCGAAGTTGTTTGTAAGGAAACTAAAGGAACATATTAATTAGGATCATATTCTTCGATTTTACAAGGTCCCAATATTTATGGCATTGGTCTCTAGTATTATTTTTACTCGTTTTTGAATTAGACTTGTAAATAAATTACAGATTAATAGAACAATATGAAAGATCACTACAAAACAAATTCATCAAAAAGATCGAAGAGAAACAAAAGCGAAAATTGATATAATGAATAGTGAACGAAGCGAATTATTCTCCACTAATAATCCAATAACGCGCAGTCAGTGAATCGTGGTTCGAATACCCATTATCCGATAAATTTGCTGACTAAGTATTTTCGCAAACGTTTTCTTAAGACGTTTGCACTAAGAACAATAAGTAGTAATGCTGTTTTATTAAGAAAAACGGATTTAATGTGAGAGCTTTTGAGATCAATGACAAGGAGACTTAGCTCGACCTTTGTTTAAATATACGCGAGTTTAATATTATTATCTTATACTAATGGATTAAAAGCAACACATTAGCGTATAAATTGAATTACCTACCTACAACGTTAAGTATGTATTTGGTTTTAGTGAAAGATTGTATAAAACCAAGTAAATTGCCTGCGTGTGCAACTGCGGATAGCCCATATTGTTATTGGCACAACTTATTACCTTTTATTCAAAATAATAAGAAACCAAATTAAAACTCCGGGCACACATTGATTCTGTGAGGCTAAGCTGTAGAGGATAGTCGCCTAGCTAGGTTAGGGTTATGGCATGTGGTGCTAAAAACCCATAACTTTGCAGAATAAATCATGTCGTCACAAAGCGTAGCTGTTACAGTTTTTAATTTATAACAATGTGTTATTCCCTCGTTTTCAGAGGCAACGAGCACTGTAATAGCAGCAGCGGATTCAGCACGTGATGGTGGTGAGCTGGCGATCCTCGTGCGAGGACCTTCTGGAAGTGCTGCCAGGAGAGAAGAGTTGCTGCATGCTAAGGGAGCTGAAGATGTTGCTATCTCACTCTTTTATAATGGGAAGAGTAATAAGGGTAAGTGAATTTGTGCATGTAACAAGTTACACCAATTTTTGATAGCTTGGCGCCATAAAATAAACGGTTTTTATAAAGAACCTTGCAGGTTTTACACGTTAAATGAAACACAAATATTTTAGAAAAGTAAAAGTACTGGATATGAGCACGAAACACCTCTAGGATAAGAAAATATAAAGTGTATATATATACGAGTGTACATAGTAAGTAACGTCTAACGGCTTAAAATGTGTTCCAGCAGCAACTTAATGTTCTAAACCGCCGCATTTTGCGCTGAAACTCGCCACAACATATGTGCCGTAACGAATAAAACCACTCAGAATATACTAGTATTAAGGTTCATTGGGTAAACGAAAGCAGCTTACAATGTAAATCTCAAATAATATGGCTGTCGGATGGCTCCACATTATATTAGATGAAAATGAAAATATTACCGCATCTCTGTAGTACGTTTGTTAGAAGCTTGGTTTCCATTCATGTTATTGCTAAAACTTACTCGTTGATAGAGTAATAAAGATGTAGTATTTTTTTTAAGGGGGGATAAGATAATCATCGAATGACTGCTCCCGCCTGGGTGAGGCGGGAGGGAGTGTCAGACTCTTACTGACTAAAAACCACCCCGTTCCTTCTCCTGCACGTCGAGCCGGAGCCCCGGTTACCCGTTAGGTTCTCCGCGACAAATATCTAGTATAGGTTCAACTTTTGAATTGGGTTGTTTTCGGAGAATAGTAGACGTGACGATGATAATTGTTGAAATTAGTTTATTATAATTTTGACCTCGGTGTCTAGCGGTCTAGTACTTACGTCGGTACACGGAGGTACGTCATAGACCAGATCTCATACCGCGTCACTGCATCACTGACAATGTTAGTTAATTAGTGTATGCGCGGAACTGAGCCGGTCTGCTCACGTCATTTGTTTAGTTCTTCAATGAAATGCTGCGAATGTAAATGCAGTTTAGATTACATATGGCTTTCGAAATTTTCTTCTCTGGGTCTGAGGCCTTAGTATGAGTTTGTTTTACGTATAAGTAATCGAAACGAGACGGCGTTTAGTGTTCTGAGGGCTTAGTACCACTTAGTTTTACGTTAAAAGTAATTGAAATGAGAACGCGTTCGGCGCTTAGATTGGTTGGTTCATTGGCACTGGCCAATCACAGCGCCGAACGCGTACTCGTTACGATAACTTTAAACGTAAAATAAACTCGTATTAAGGCCTCTGATTGACCGGCTCCAATGAACCCACCAATCAAAATGCCGAACGCGGTATCGTTTCTATTACTTCAAACGTAAAATAAACCCATACTTAGGCCTCTGGTCTGGCTTCTCTTTTTTTTTTTTTTACATATTTGTAAAGTCACGTGCTAAATGCTGTAGATGTTCATATCATCATACAGTAATTCGCAAAGCTTTGACTACACGGTTGGTGCGGTGGTTGGGCAACTGGCTGCCGCACAACGTGTCACGGGTTCGATTCCCGCACGGAGCAAATCTTTGTGTGATCCACAGATTATTGTTCCGGGTCTGGGTGTAATGTATATGTGAAATTGTATGTTTGTAAACGTACCCACGATATAGGAGAAAATCCTAGTGTAAGGCAAAGTTTTTTTCAAAAGAAAGAAAAGAATGAAAGAATCCCAATGGTCGACGATTTGGGGGATAGTTAATAATTTAATGACCTGCTAATTTACTTTTTCTATCTTGTGTAGTATCTCTGGAGAGTCTCCATGGAGGTCACATAAAGTCTGTGTCGTGGGGACTGAGTGACAACCCTCGTGGTACCCTTGCTCTGGTGATCACTCCCAGCAGAGTGAAACTCATCGTGGGCTGCAAGCCTCTGCACTGGCATAGCATGTCCGGCAGACACGATCTGCTGGCTACGTTGTCCAGCCAGAAAATGAAATTGGTGAGTGAATTAGTAAAGACTTTAAATTAATAGTTACGTTACTTAATTGATTTAAAACAACTTGAGTAAGTGCCATAACCACACATTGAGAAATTATGGTTAGATCCATTTGGAGATTGCCAAAGAACTTAGGATTTCGTTCAGGAGTAGTCACGTGTGACAATGATACAGTTCGCAATACCTATAAAACAACCTAATTATAAATGTTTCAAGATAAACCAATTTTCATTTTAGTTTCTGTTCATCGAAACGTAACTTGTGAAGTACAAAAAAATATTTGTTATTAATTGAACCATGCCGAGTTTAATACAACTCTTTCATGTTTCCAGCATTGGTAATGGGAGTTTCAAAGAAATAATAAATGCGTACTCCAGTAGCAACGTTTTATTTTCAAGTGGCCACCCTTGGAGAAGGCCTAATGAAACGATTTGTGAAGTACGCTTCAAAATTTACGACTTCATTGAAAACTTATTTAAGTCGTTTTATTAATATACTCACTAAAACATTACATTAAATTTATTTTCTCTTATTCACAGTATCACGAAGAAAATGCACCAGTGGAAGTATATAGTAGCGAACGTGCAGTTTTGGAATCCCTAAACTGCAACCATCACGCTGATACCATGAAACCACCAGCGCTCACGACGGTAGAAGAAACAGATTTTGAAGAAGTTAGAGACTTCTTAGCGAACGATGCTAGAAGGAAGAGAGAGGAACAGATGCAGGGGGATGAGTACAGAGGAAATTACATCGACCCTAATGTTCTGCCACAACCTCCTCCACAGCCGAACCGAGGAGATATACCTTCTAATGCTATTGAATCTTGTGATGGTAAGCATAATAATACTAAACGCTAACCTACTGTTAACATGGACGATCGATATCCTATATTCTCATCTATAGTATGATGTCGAGATCTTGTTATCTAAGTATTGTTTTGGGATTGCAAAGTAACTAAGCTTAAGAATTAATAAGTCGTTAAATCATGAGCTGTCGAATTTTTTTTCGATTTGCGGTCGAAACCTATTGTTCTTATACAAAATATCTGGATTTTCACAGTAACTCTACAAATGGGAAGGATCGATAATGTAAAGATTTTTGATTGATCGTTTTGTTAATTTTAGCCATAAATTACTAATCTCTGATTCAGAAAACAACGATATGTTGTGTATCAACTAAAACGGTAATTAATTTTATGTCTTTAACATTGCAGATGAGGTGATCCGTCAGCTCACGTTGCTCCGTCAGACTATCGACCATCTTCGTCGTGAGATTGGAGAACAGAAGGGCACCATTGACAGTCTGCGCACTCAGTTGCGTCAGTGCTGTAATAGAGTGGTAGTCCCTACTCCACCACCCGTGGAGCGATGCAGCGGAACTTCTTGCTATCCCGGTTATTAAACATCCAATAAATAATTATATGCTCTCTTAGAAAGTAATTTTACCATATATTTTGCCACAATGTATTTCTGAAGTCTTTTCTTGCATTTATCTGTCTATCATTTAGGTTTGGTGTGTTGTTAAGGTAGGATAGATCATTACAATCATGTTTGTGCTAAACGTAGAGCTCAGAAGTCCACAACAAATGTAATTTATTAACTTCAGTTATTTCAACTTATTCAGTAGGATTAACATTGTAAGAATCTCATTTATAATCTTTAGTATTTACATTAACATTATAACCATTCGTATTGTTAGCTTCATTAGTCTTAGTACACTCATTATTAATTCTTGCCATATCCACGTCCACCATATAATTTAAGGTGTATCAAGCAACTTTTATATTCAGTGTGGGATTTTAATATTAAAAGTGTTTTTATCAAAATCGCGTTTTATTTCACGTAAGTAATAACTCCACAAGTGTGATGACATCTAAAATGTCTGTCTACAGAGTCGCGAGTCTCGCCCACTTAATATCAAGTTGCTTGATTAACCTTATTCATATTTGTGAATGAATAACTAGATTTGTCAATTATAATCATGTCGGCATGATTGGTGACTCTGTAGGCGAAACTGTCTCTTTGAACATTATGTACACGAACGGAGACAATCAAAGCTATTTGCGTTCACTTTATTAAGATTTTGTTTTCAATTGAAACTAATTCTGACATTGATGTGACATTCATTTGTCATTTGCTTCGGGGTATTTTTGAGCTAAATTAACGAATAAGACTGCCAAAGCGTTTTTATTATTAACTTTATTCAATATTCTGGTTTGAAATGAATAATTACGCTTTCATCAGACGAGAAGACACAAGACATACCACATTCAATTAAATAAATACATTGCGGAGGTAATAGGGTACCTAGACGCCTAATTTTTATTTTAATGTCCGTCTGGTAGATTATTTTAAATCATTAGACACGTATTTTTTATTTTCTTACAGAAACAAATACATTTGAAATGTCGCGTGACGTCACTTCTATTTACATTTTATACGTAGAAATGACGTTTTAGCCCCCACTCCTAAACTTTGATTCGTTTTATCTAAGTATTGTTTGATTATACGACAAAATAAAAAAAATACGTGTCTAATATTTTTTCATTACTTAACTTACGGACTAATTAGATTGTTAATTTTCATACCCTGTCATCATCCCAATTGTCTAAAGATGAAGAGGTGAGTAGGTATCTGATACTAAGTACGGTGCAGGCGTGGAGTGCCGTAACACGGCGGCGGGGGTACAATGCGGGTCGTGTCCGCAAGGCATGGAGGGAGACGGACGGAGGTGCAGACCCATCTCCTGCAGCAGACGACCATGTTCACAAGGTGGGTAACTAAAAACTCTAAAATTAGTAGTCAAATAAAATAAAATACTTTATATATGTTAAGTATGTTATTTAAGCAAACGAAATATAAGTAAAAGAGAGAAGGCTATCGACACCCACATTTATTCGTATTCAATTGTTTTACAAATTCGCGGGGTCCGCCACACACATAGATAATCTATCACCATAGACTATACTATGACCATAGAGTATACCACAGATACACAACAATATATATACTTTATATAAATTTAATATAAAATAAATTATAATAGTATTAAAAAATGTAAGCGTCTTTTCGAGAAATTGTAATTTCAATGTTGTTTTATTTTTCTGGGTATTGTCTTCCTTAATGTAATATTTTGGAAATTCTTGATACACAACTAAAAAGCTGGCAAAAGTAAACTCGGGTTGTTAAGATTCACTCTTCACCATGTCTACGGTTAAGTTCCGTTTCGAAGTTTTTAGGACTTCACTTCGGTTGGTACTAAGATTGGCTAATTATTACCGAGAAAAGTATGGGGACATCAAGTAATAACTTTTGGTAAGAGCGGTAAATTAAAAACTTTGTAGTCTTTATTTTTTCTTCTTAATACTTGATCATCAATAAAACATCTGCCATAAGACTGAGTTTTGCATATACACTTCCCATCATGTTATCGTGAGCAAGTTTTGGCGAAACTCCAAATAGTAACTGCGTCTGGCAAAGGCGTATGCTATCAGTTAACACATTAAGTACAAAGAACCATTAACTGCCATTGTTACACGTTACCCGCTGACTGCCATTTATGGCCATACATTTGTACATATCTTTATAGCCGATGGTTGCGAATGATGCCAGCAATTTATTGCCAACCAAACCAATCGTCTGAAGGGCCAGTTTGCTGCGATAAATAGAATATGGTTCGGTTATAGACTGATAATAACTTCGAAATTAAGCTAATAATTTCTGATGTTCAGGTATAAGTCAGAATCCATACCTTGTTTAAAGATACAGTCTTCATAACTGGAAAATTAGTATAAAGAACGTGTCTTACAAAATTTCAAAGATAAGACAAAATAACCAAGTTTTCTAGTTTCTTACGTAAAAGTTGAGAAGTAACTTTGAACAGATCTTATTTAAACGAGTTTTTAGAGTAATCATTGGTCCTAAACTGCAAATGTTCTTTAGTGGAGAGATGCGTGGACACGGAGCAGGGTTACCGATGTGAGAGATGTCCAGGACGACAGACCAGCGATGGCCAAACCTGCCGAGCTGCATGCAGTACCAACCCTTGCTTTGGAGGACGTGAGTAGCATCTTTAAGTAAAGAAAATTCATCTCGATGATTACGTTTCTCACAGAAAGTTTTGATAAAAATTATTGTTCTTTTTAAAGGTGTCCAATGCCAAGACTTACCAGATGGCAGCTACCGATGCGGATCTTGTCCAGAAGGTTATCATGGAAACGGAGAACAATGTTACAGGATCTCCTGTCGGCAGAATACTTGCTTCCAAGGTAGGAAGAATACAAACAGTAGATTCTCTTCAGTTAACAGATAAACGTTTCTTTTTTTAGTTCAACAATTATTTGTATCATCTGATCTTAATCTTTAGGCGTCGAATGTCAAGAGACAGCATCAGGTCCTCGTTGTGGATCCTGTCCAGCTGGTTACCATGGCAACGGGCAGCAGTGCCAACATGTGTGTGATTCTCACAAACCATGCGGGAACAGGCGGTGTAGTCCTACGACCAGCAGTCCCTATTATAAATGTGAAGGATGTCCTAAAGGATTCGAATGGAATGGTAAGTTGCAGTCGTTTTACATTTTTTGCTATATTATATATAACTGGAATATCTGTTCCAAATTTTATTTTAATTGCATAATCCGGTAAACATGCAGACGTATCACCTGATGGTAAGCAATCGGCATTGACACCAGAGGTGTTACAAGTGCGTTACCGGCCTTTTGGGGATTAGGAGTTTGAGGATCGTTGGGGATTCAGGGATTGGGGAGATTGGGGAAGGGGAGGGTAATTGGGCCTCCGATAACCTCACTCGCATGACGAAACACAACGCAAGCGTTGCTTCACCTCGGTTTTCTGTGAGGCCGTGGTATCACTCTGGTCGAGCCGGCCCATTCGTTCCGAAGCATGGCTCTCCCACACTTATCATTTTACTTTTACAGGATATGGATGTGTCGATATAGACGAATGTGACCTGATCAGACCATGTGATGAGGTGGTATCATGTCGTAACGAGGAGGGTGGGTTCACATGTGGACCTTGTCCTGCCGGCTATGAAGGCAGCTCAGGATGGAGAGGCTCTGGCAACGAGCGCCGCAGGGAACAGTGCGTCGATGTCGATGAGTGCGCTGATGGAAGGGCCAACTGTCCTAGAGGCAGGCTCTGTGTTAATACTCCGGTAAGACTTAGAGCAAGTGGTGGTTTTTACTTATGAATCACATTAAACTAATTTAAGACGGATGAAGTTTTTTTTCTAAATTGTGACCTTTTAGAGAGACCTAGAGTTGCCTAGTAAGCGACAGAGACAGCTCGGATGTTCGGCTTGTTTGCAAGACGAAATCCGAACGCTGGATATATGTCAAAGAATCAACTTACCCGCATATCTCTTAAAATCTGCAAGCTGAAGTAGCCACATCACCTGAAAAGTGCTCAAATGGCAAATCACGCGAAATGACGAGCTGTCGTTCGAAATGGAGGACCAAGGGCGAGGCCCATATGCAGTAGATGTCATCCGGCTAATAATGATTATGCTAATGATGAAATTCATATACCCACCTCTCATAATACCTGTGCTTGTACTTCTGATTTTATTTTTTTTATATGATGGTAGTTTAGGGATCAGAGTGGAAAGTTCCCTAAGATCGGAAAAGGAGGACCCTCCGACCAGGCGAGGTGATTGTGCCTGGCGGGCTTTCTGCGCAACAGTTGTTCGTTGGGTTTTTCTATCCAAGTTTATTCGCTTGTAAACTTTGCATGTGCGATGTAGGATTTTTGTGACGTCTTCCGTTGACATGTACCATGTGTCGCCACAATAGCATAGTAAAATAGTTGTACCTTTATGAGTTTATTTAGCTGGTGCTACGGACTCAATATTCTGTTTGTGTGTGACAGGGTTCGTTCACGTGCGTGCCATGTGGTGGCGGGTTCTACGTGAACACGACGCGCCCGTGTCAGTCGGCCGACTCCCTCGTACTGCGCTGCGACCCCGCGCACTGTCGGCGGTACAACGCCGTCTGCGGGTACGGACACAAGTGCGTCTGTGCGGTCAGTGTCTTGTGCTAGTGCTTATGTTGCTTTACTATTAAAATTATTAATGTTATTCCCTTTATTAAATAGGTGTGGAATTCCTATAGATATAGTAATCCGTCTTTCAACTGCTTCTCTTCTCAACAGATCAAATAAAAATTGAGGCAAAACTTTAATCTTTTAACTTTAACTTTAATCAATTTTAAGTCTTATGTCATGATCAAACAATGTAATACGTATTGAACTGAGTTCAACTTTACACCGTGATTGAAAAAAAACGTACCTACGTTTTGACCAGACCAAAGTCAGCTTTATTCATTTAACTTATTAAAACTAATTCGGGAATTCCAGACGGGTTGGGCAGGAAATGGTACAGTTTGTGGACCTGACAAGGATCTGGACGGCTACCCTGACCACCAGCTGGCTTGTTTGGAACCCCGGTGTAGAGCTGACAACTGTCCTGAAGTCTCCAACTCTGGACAGGAGGACGCTGATGGAGATGGTATAGGAGACTCCTGTGACCCTGATGCTGATGGTGATGGAATTGCTAATTTACCGGTGAGTGCAAAAAAAGATATGATCTGATTACGATGGTTGGTATCATTTAAAGTACTTAGCTATATACAAGGTGTTGTTTTAAAGCCGCATCATTTTCTAGGAGGTAACTCAGCTATCGATTCTGAGCCCGAATCAATAAAAAAAATTGTAGGTTAATATTTTTCATGTTTCTTTAAATTACGGAAATCCGTAAGTGCGAACTACAAACACGCCGCTGTCTTGTAACTAGATTTATAACGTGGCTTAGCACACACAAACTCAAACACGAAACTAAACCTTGTATACAAGCTGTAACAGCAAAAGATGGCCGGAACGGTAAGGAGACCAAAATAAAGAAATTAAAATATGTTTTAGTCGTTTGGCTACTGACAGGAAACTGTTAAAGTAAAAAAGTGGAGGATTTATTCTAGTAGCCGTTGGTCACTTTTGATCCCCATAGCGTTTACTGTGTTAAAAGATATCGGTAGATTCTTAATTTTCATTATAAAAATAGTCAAGTGCGCTTATTTCTGGGGTTTCATTTCGAGACCATTAAGCAAACAACAAGACTGAGAGGTTTATTAACAGCTATATATAGAAATGTAACCAAACCAACTTAACGAGCGGTCGAAGTTAATAAAGAAAGTCACACATTTATTATTGAGATCCACCGTTAGCGTCGGTTTGGTGAGGTTATAGAGGATCAAATAATAATTACTACGGGGAATATACAAAGGATTCTCGATTATTAGATAATTGTTAAGTATTCAAAGTATTCAAAGACTGCCTCGTTGGCCGAGTGGTTTCAAGAGCGACTGACGGACAAGAGGTCTCGGGTTCGATTCCCGGCTCGGGCGAAGTATTACTGGGATTTAAAAAAATTCTCAGTAGTAGCACGGAATCTGGAATTGTGCCCGGTATATGGCAATAGGCTCACCCCCTATTACATGGGACTTATAACATAAATAGTGAAAAGTGGGTGTTACATTGTACAGTGGCATGTGCACCCCTTCGGGGATAAAAGGCGTGATGTTATGTTATGTTATTTATGTTATTCAAAGTACACCTACATAGTGTTTACCATTAGAATCCATTACGTTCAGAATTAAGTAGTTCGTCATTACTTTATCTCGCCTGTCTCTATGGTCGAATTAAAACCGAATGTTAAAAGAATTGAGATTTTCTTTTCTCGAAAATATTTAGCTCCAGCTCGTCTCCAATTATATGGGTTCTGTACCTACTAATTGTTATTCTATATCGTGAGTTGTGAATTTACATACCCAATACTCTCAGAGCTAAAATAAAAACATAACCTACAAATAATATATGTATAACCTACATCAATGTATGTATATGAGGATGATAATATAGTGGATGGAGTTAAGTTAGTAAAGTTAGTATCTTTAAAATAAAATTCGTACTAAATTCTTAATCATGAGTAATTTAGACTTGCAATTTTAAACGATTCTCATCGTGTTGAAGTCCGGAGATAAAAGAATAGTACTGTTCAATAGGTTTAATTACAAATGGAGTCGGTCGACCTTCGTCTTACTCTGAATAATTAATTTACTTTCTGTTTGTAACAGTCACGTAAAAACCGTTTCATTTAACACAATACCGATTTAAATTCTTTAAATCTATTTAAAATGGGTGTTCTATTAAGGATTGTAACGATGGAAGTAGGATTAAGAGTTGAAATTCTGATTACTGACCGCATAAAATCTACATGCTGCTGCAATGTGTACCTCTACCTACTCCTTCGGGGATAAAAGGCGTGATGTTATGTGTATGTATGTTATGTGTATCTACACACTGACTGCACGGTTGGTGCGGTGGTTGGACGTGTCGCCGGTTCGATTCCCGCACGGAACAACTCTTTGTGTGATCCACAAATTGTTGTTCCGGGTCAGGATGTCATGTGTATGTGAACGTGTATGTTTGTAAACGCACCCACGACACAGGAGAAAATCCTAATGTGGGGTAACGTTTTCAAAAAAAATATATATTGGATAACTATATTATCTATTTACATGTAATTGCGAACGGAATTAAATTGTTATAGATACCTACTTTTTATGAAATGTCAGAATTCAAGTTCAAACTACAAAGTTATGGCTAACTAAGGCCCATGTTTTAAAGTCAAATTTCTAAAGAAGACGGAGGTTCTTCATAGATTGATGTTCAAGTCTCCGAATATTATTTCACTATCCATTTTTTTCCAAGGACAACTGCCCACTTACTCCGAACCCTGACCAATCGGACCGTGATGATGACCGCAGTGACAAACGAGGAGATGCTTGTGACAACTGTCCTCGAAGGTACAACCCTGGACAGGAGGATACTGATGGTGACGGCATAGGAGACGTCTGTGATCCTGACATGGATAATGATGGTAAGACTATTGATGATAATAAAGTAAATGATAGAAAATGGTCTTGATTTGAATTAGAAAAAACGAAATAGGGAGGCCTTTGTCCAGCAACGGACGTTTTTTTATGGTATAAGCCGGTATACGAGCAGACGGATCATCTGATGTTCAGCAATCGGCGTCGCCCATGGACACCTGGAACACCAGAGGCGTTACAAGTGCGTTACCGGCCTTTTGGGGATTAGGAGTTTGAGGATCGTCGGGGATTCAGGAATTGGGGAGATTGGGGAAGGGGAGGGTATTTGGGCCTTCGGTAACATCACTCAACGACGTCAAGAAAAAAACTAAATTGGGAGGCAATGGACGTCTTTCGACTGATGGGGATACCAATAATGAAACATTTTTTGTGTCGTTGCGTTATATTCCATCCCTAATAAGAGTGATCACTGTTCGTGAATTCGTTTTTTTTATTTCCAAGTCTGGTCTAATATCTAAATTGATCGATATTCAAGTTTCTAATATTAAGCATCGGAGGAACTTTTGTTTATCTCTATGAAGAAAAATATTATTTATTGTACTATTCTTAGCCACCTTAAGTATACGCTATAAAACTTTAGATACAATTGAGTTTGGCGACATTAATATCGAAATCATAAATCGTTTTGCTTGCAAATTGGTTTTGAAGCGTTGAAATAGACTTGTAAGGCAATTTTGTTTGTTACCGCTATAAACGGATTGGGGCGTTGAAGGTTACGTCTGGAACAATCTATGTGGGTGACGTCTTATCTTCTTATTTTTAATAGTAATCAGACTCTAAAGCAATAATTTTGAGTTGATATGATTATTATATTGGTCTCTATTAAACTTTGGGTATCTGATAATTTCATGATGCGTCACATGAACAGACTGTTATCCTCTCGGCATGATAATTATCTCAATTCTTTCCTTTTTAATAGCATTAGTTTTAGTTGTTTCTTTGTGTCTAATAGCCGTGTGAGCCTAATTCCCACTATCATAAGGCCAACAAGTCGGTATTGCTTACCATCAGGTGATAGGTTTGTTCAATTGCCACCTTAACCCATAATCTATATAAATACAAATTAACTTCCGTTCGTCAGTCTCGCTAAAACTCCAGAACGGCTGAACCGATTTGACTAATTTTGGTCTTGAAATGTTCGTGGTAGTTCAGGAAACGTTGGACATTGGCAGGCGGTATTATCGGTACACGAATTTTGAAAGGTCAGCTAGTCCCGAACATCATTTAAACCCACAAAATATTCAATGTTAAAGTACTGATGATACTACCTCATTTTTCTTACATAGGTATACCAAATGAGATGGACAACTGTCCACGGCGCTACAACCCGGCTCAAGAGGACATAGACAACGACAGCGTGGGAGACGTGTGTGACAACTGTCCCAGGATACGGAACCGGGCGCAGGAGGACGCTGACAGAGACGGAGTCGGAGACGCATGTGATAGCGACATTGATAGGGATCAGTAAGTTTATTGAGTTTCATTATAAGGTGGTGCTCTGTGGTGTGATGTTGGAGAAGCTTTTGCTAGGAGTTGATGAAAATAAGTTGCTGCTGCTGCTGATGATGATGATGATGATAATCCTTACTAATATTATAAATCGAAAAGTGAGTTTGTTTGTTTGTTCCACTTTGACGCCGTAACTACTAAACTGATTGTTTTGAATTTTTGCAGATGTGAAGTTAGAAGTCTGGATTAAATAATAGGGTACTTTTTATCCCGGAAAAATATGATATTCTTGAGGGAAAACGAAATTATTGGTATAGATGGCGCTGTGTGTATTGGTATATGTCACTTAGGCTGTTTTTTATCCTTTTGTGACGTGAGCGAAGCCGCGGGTAAAAGCTAGTACTAATAGTACTATACTAAAATATACAGACGTATTCGTCTGTTCCTCGATGTAAGGAATATTACAGTGCAGTACATTTATGCTTAGTACTCGTGTTAGTAGTCAGATGCTGCACTACCACATTTTAATTTCGATGATAGGGAAAATATAACAGTAGTTTACTTGACGATTTTTTAAATCTTTATTTTATAAGTACGGCTTTTTTATTAAGGGAAAAACGTCAGCACCATTACATGATACACAATTACTGAATTTTGTTCTTTTTGCTTTACCGATTACATGTTTAACTTGTCCTTTAACTTAAACATCAAATAACTGAATCGAAAATTTAGTATTCGTTAGTTTTAATAGTAACTAAGTCTAAATCTGTTCAAGGGATATCATTCACAACAAATATTTTCTTGTTCCAGAGACGGTATCCAAGATGGTATAGACAACTGTATGATGGTGCCTAACAGTGACCAGCTCGACGTGGACGAGGATGGCATAGGAGACGCGTGTGATGACGATGATGATGGAGACGGCATCCCTGATGTACAGGATAACTGTCCTTACATCAAGAACCCTGACCAGAAGGATTCTAACAGTAAGAGCTTTGTTTATGAAATAAGCCTGTAAATCTTACTTGATGCCCCTGATGGTAAGCAATCGGCGCCGCCCATGGACAGCTGAAACACCAGAGGTGTTACGAGTGCGTTACCGGCCTTTTGGTGATTAGGAATTTGAGGATGATTTGGGGATTCCGGGATTGGGGAGATTGGGTAATTGTGCCTCCGGTAACCTCACTTACACGACGAAATACAACGCAAGCGATTTTCACGTCGACGTAGTTTCACGTCAATTTTCTGTGAGGCCGTGGTATCATTCGTAACCACTTAGTAAATTACATATTACACTAAATTTTTATTATTGAAAAATAACGGTTTACTCACATGTAATTACTGAGTAAAGCTCTACTAGATTCAAAGTCACTACGGTTCGGTAACTATTTTACCTGATTCGGTAGTAGAACTCACAATCTCAAAGCCAGTTTGTGAACAAAAGATCGATAATCTATGGTTTTTATAAGGAGCGATATTATAAAAGTGTGTTGTATCCGTGTCGCGTAGACGACGGCGTGGGCGACGCGTGCGACAACGACTACGACGGCGACAACGTGATCAACGAGCTCGACAACTGCCCCAACAACTCCAAGATATTCCGCACTGACTTCAGGTAAATATTTATTACTAGCTTTTACCCGTGGCTTCTCTCGCGTCACAAAAGGTTAAAAAGTAGCCTATGTGACATATACCAATACACACAGCGCCATCTATACCAATACTTTTGTTTTCCCTCGGGAATATCAATATTTTTCCGGGTTAAAAAGTACCCTCTTATTTAATCCAGACTTCTAACTTTACGTCTGCAAAAATTCAATGCAATCGGTTCAGTAGTTACGGCGTGAAGTCGGAACAAACAATCAAACAAACAAACTCACTTTCCGATTTATAATATTAGTAAGGATTTGGTATTTTTCTAGCATTGTTAAACAGTTTTCATTGTGTCTTTGATTATAAGGTCCTAAAATAACGTTCCTCAAGAATAGGATATATAGAATCCATTACAGATGCAAAAGAAGAAAAGCTTGTTTTGTAGCAAGGATCAGGATATCAGGATTAGTAGCAAGTTCTAATTTGATCAGAAAAGAAAATATGTTTAAAAAATTCTCAGTAGTCGCACGGAGTCTAGAATTGTGCCCGGTATATGGCAATAAGCTCACCCCCTGTTACATGGGACTCATAACATAAATAGTGAAAAGTGGGTGTTACATTGTACAGTGGCATTAAATGCCGTAATGTGAACTTCTGCCTACCTCTTCGGGGATAAAAGTCGTTATGTTATGTATGTAATTGATTAGGTTCCTAATATATGTATATTTTTAATAACTTTGTAAAAATGTCGCCATTGTAATGAAGCTAATTTCACAAGAATATGTGACGTAGGTACATTAAAAGTTTTCACCTGATGCATCTAATGGAATTCAGAACTTTTAGAAGTTTAGTTCTCGCGCGGGGGAATTAATGGAATTAGAGCGTTGAACACTAGAAACTTTGAAGTATGTCTGATTTATAACTTACTTTAAAATCTACTGTTTGTGTTAATACTAGTCAAATGGAAACTTTTGGATGCAGCTGGTAGCTGGAGAAAATTCTGCATAATACGTGGTGTTTTTTTTATGAGATAAGCCGGTAAACGGGCAGACGGATTACCTAATGGTAAGCAATCGGCGTCGCCCATGGACACCCGAAACACCAGATGCGTTACAAGTGCGTTACCGGCCTTTTGGGGATTAGGAGTACGAGGATTGTGGGGGATTCGGCGATTGGGGAAAGTGGGGAAGGGGGTAATTGGGCCTCCGGTATCCTCACTCACACGACGAAACACAACGCAAGCGTTGCTTCACGTCAGTTTTCTGTGAGGCCGTGGTATTACTCCGGTCGAGCCGGCCCATTCGTGCCGAAGCATGGCTCTACCACAATTTTATCCCAAAACTATTTTGGGCGTTAATTAATTTGGCTTAAAAACAAAATGAATTATTTTTATGCATTAAGTATGTGACGACCTTGAACATAACATGGTTGTTGAACACAATCAGCAATCTCTACTTACTAAGCTTTCTCAACTCTACACTAAAACACAACAATTCTAAACCAAACTTAACTAGAAATAAATAAATAGTGCCTAGTTATTATGTAATTTATACTTTTGGTAATAATTATAGATGTAGTTAATTATAGTGTGTAACTAGGTTCCCTCTTTACTTTATAGAAATTGACAAGATGTATTATAATAACAAAAATTGCATGACAAGGGCACGGATCTAGAGTCCGTGGAGAATTAATCTATAATATTATAAAAAAAAACAAACTTAAAACCTTTACTATAGTTAAAACTATTAAAGAAAATAATGTCATAACTAGTGTCTGAACACACAAAGATAAATAAACAAACAACAATAATATACACGTTACATCGAATTTTCTTCATAGGAACTACATGACAGTCCGACTGGACCCTGAAGGTGAGTCCCAGCAGGATCCTAACTGGGAGATAGCGAACGAAGGTGCTGAGATATTACAGACATTGAACTCTGACCCCGGCCTCGCTGTCGGCTTCGAGAGCTTCAGCGGAGTAGACTTCGAGGGAACATTCTTTGTCGACACACAGATCGATGATGATTACGTCGGATTCATATTTGGGTAAGGTTTTACACATTTTTACGTAATTACAGTTAGGATATTGTGGTTATGAAACTCCAGTGTCTTTAGATATATGTATATGTTACAGCCAAGGTGATTATTTGATATTATTCATAATGACTGTTCATTATACATAATAACCAACTCATGTCCCTAGGACGCGCCGGACTTCAATGTTCCGGTGTTTTCATGGTTGTATCTACTGTAGATCCTGGCTTACAGGAGTTGCAGTAGTTTTGGGAGGTTGTGGTGGGCTTGTCCCATATAAAAACATACATTATAACCAAATTGCTTTGTCAATGTGATAAATTAATGACTCAATGTGATTAATTCTGCTTCATTTGTCACTTTAACCAAATTCTGTAGTTATTACCTATAATAAATAGTCATTATGAATAATATGAAATTAATTCACTCACTTTGGCTGAAACATATGTACGGCAAACAAACAGCAGTCATGGTATACTAGTCACCTGATGTAAAACTTACTTTATTCTGTCTACAACATTAAAGTTTCTGTCTTTTGCTAAAGAGGTACTTTACGTGCTCTCTTAAAATGTTGGAATCGTAACATATTTTACTGAAGCCAAGGATAAAACTGCAGAACCACGTGCTTAGCATCAGCAATCAGTTCACAGAGTGGCAGGCAGTGATTAGATCAATATCACCCCATTTGTATACAAATTCACACAATTCAGCGAGCGGTGGTTGTCGGATTAAAATATTTAGAAGATATTGTTGTTTCGTCAAGTCGTAAAAATGTGGAACGGCCGCAAGCCGCCATATCTTTTTTATACTAGCTGAATTTATATTACTTGATTAAATTAGACTACTACTCCCTAAAACAGGGTTACTTACTTACGTTTTACTGAAAATATTTCTCTTTTAGCTTTCATTTGCAAAATGCTCTGTTTATTATTTTCAAGTAAAGCAATATCTGTATTATTACCAGCTAAAGAAGTTATCTCTATTATTACCAGCTAAAGAAGTTATTACTAGTTACCTTCTCCATGTGAGAAGAGGCTTTGCTCAGCAGTGCGGATTTATAGGCTGTTGATGATGATGATCATGATGAAATAAGTTATTATTTTACTCTTCAATGTCAGTAAAAAGAATTACTTTTTTTAAAAGGTTTCCTAGACACGTAGGTGACCGCATATCGAGCGCGGTGAACGATTTGCAAGCTTTGATTGGTTTCATTGTTACTTAGCACGGTCGTGCGAACTACGAATTCTATGATAAGATAATGTCGGATTTATATGTATTCTTATAGTAAAAAAAACTATAAGAATCACCCCCTATTACATGGGAGTCGTAACATAAATAGTGAAAAGTGGGTGTTACATTATACAGTGGCATTAAGTGCCACAATGTGCACCTTTGCGTAGGCAAGGCAAGGGGTAGCCCTTGGGGATAAAGGGCGTGATGTTATATAGAAGGATTACCAATGCTAAAAGTCAATCCTCTTCCAAAAACCGACAAAGCACTATAGTTCTCTTACCCTGGCGTACGTTCACGCTGGTTGCTTACCATCAGGTTATCTGTTCATTTCTCCCCCCCCCCATACCATAAATCAAGAGTATTTCTAATATATTTCCCCATCGTAGTTACCAAAACAACAAGCGTTTCTACGTGGTGATGTGGAAGAAGAACACGCAGACATATTGGCAGACCACTCCGTTCAGGGCGGTGGCCGAGCCAGGCATACAGCTCAAACTAGTCAACTCCAAGACTGGACCAGGGAAGACGTTGAGGAATGCTCTCTGGAACACTGACACTACGCCTGATCAGGTAATGTTACTAGTAATTTATGATTGTAATGCCTTAATAAGAAGGATAAAATGTCGTGGTAGTCCAGTGATTTAAGACGCCCGCTTCTAATGCATGTGGTCGCCAATTTGAAACCTACCAACGGTAAGTATCAATGTGACTTTTTCCGAGTTATATGTACTTTCTAACATTATTTAGACACCACTGACAAACGGTGAAAGAAAACATCATGAGGAAATCTAAGCTTATAATTTCAAATTCAAATTGCTTTATTTGTAGATCATTTCTAATTATAATTATAAAATCACCAACCTGCATTGAGCAAGCGTGGTGATTAATGCTCAAACCTTCGTGTGAGAAGAGGTCTTTGGTCAGTGTCGCCACTAATAGGCTGTTGATGTTGAAGGAGGATGTGATGATCGTAGTCGATGGCTTCATGGCTATCCTCTTGACTCCATTTCATTCATTGCTGGTCATACAACTCAGTTAACGGGGTGATTTTTAGCCTCTAAGAGTTAGACACTACCTCTCACTTCACCTTCGAGAGATGCCATTGATGATGACAGATGATATACCCCCCAAAAAATACCTCTTCAATTTTTTTCGTAGTCTTTTCATAGCTAATCTCAATATTTAGTTTGACTCATATTCAACGACTGATTGTATCTACTCGATCCGAGCAGCAACCCTTGATTCAGTAGTCCGACGATCAATGAGAAATTAAATGAATAATACGCATTTTAATTTTAATAAAAATGTTTCTGAAGTTTTTTTTTTTTTGAGGGGGGAAAATCATCCAATGACTTCTCCCGCCTGTGTGAGGCGGGAGGGAGTGTCAGACTCTTACTGACTAAAAACCACCCCGTTCCTACACCTGCACTTCGAACCGGAGCCCCGGCAACCCGTTAAGTCTTCCGCGGCTCCGTATTTCTGAAGTTAACTTCTTAATAAAAACGTATCGTTTACAATTTTCGTTTGCATATGGACAACGATCACTGTGGGTTACTTACGTATCAGTGAAAATAAAGTTATAAAATTCAATATGAACAAGTTAAATATGAATCGCAAACACCCCGGTACCGGCCGGCGTCCATATTTAACAGTAACCTTGTTTATAAGCAAACAGGTTAACATTATCATACTTTTACATTTCATTTCCAAATATGGAAATATATTATTGAATTCTCAAATAAAATACGTATTTCGAAATAAGTTATTTTATCTTTTTTTTCCTTTTTTTGTATTTGAAACTAGATTCTGACCACGACTTCGTATGCGTAATTTTTTCCCGTTCCCTTAGGATTTTGGATCTTGTATCATAATGTTACTGATTGTTTTGCATGTTTCTTTAAATATAAATAGTAAATATGTGTTATTGGACCTCATTACAGTTTATATCTCAAAAGTTGAAGTGGAAAATGTTGTGGGTATTACCTACATTGATTTGGTTTTGTGTATTTTACCGATGGGTATTATTATCTATATACATGTCATGTAATATTATTTTTTTGCCAAATAAAATAAAAGGGAAATCTTTTGATAAAAACCCCGTCTCCAGGTTCTAAGCTACCACTCCACCAAATTTTACCAAAATCGATTTAACTTGAGTTATAAATAGTATAACTACCACGACATTCTTTTATACCTAATAGATTTTAAGCCTAGCTCTAGTAAGAGCAATATATTAAGCCCAGTTACAAAACATAAACGTATGTAAATATAATGAATACGGTGTAAATTGCATTGCTACGTACACGGCTTTCAATTTGCAAGCTCCTGCACTGACACGTATCACCGAGCTGACACTCATTTAACTGAATTAGAACAGCATGTAACTATGTAGCACCTGCCTTGAATAAATTGTGTGTCAGATTTAGTTGCCTGCAATTTGTATTAGGTTACAAAATAAAATTGTACCTTTGCTGTTTTTTTTGGAATAGATAAATCGAGTCAGCATTATAGAAATATCAATCTTTGTTGAAAAACGAAATGTAATTTATTCATTAAGGATTCTTAGCGGGATTAAATAAATTACCTACAATTTCAATTTTGCCACAACAATATTTAAAGTCAAAGTCAAATACATTTATTTCAATTAGGCCAGAAAGGCACTCGTGAACGTCAACAAAAAAATAAAAGTGAAGCTATTTGTTCATTACAAGGTGTAGATATCCTATGGAGAAGAACGAGCAAGAACCTCCATAGGTTACGCTTTTTCAATCAGGTTCACAATACAATACTCTAGTTAACTACATATTTTCAAATAAATATTATTGCTCAAAAAAACTTTTCAAGAGAACTCTATTAGTTTTTTAATTTCATATTTTTTTACTTTTTTCTACTTCAAAATTATTTTTTAAGTAAGCAATCTTTTACAATAAATATAACGAGTCAACATCTGTACAAAATCAATATCAATTCATCATTCCCCAGGTGACATTACTATGGAAAGACCCGCGCAACGTGGGTTGGCGCGAGAAGACCGCGTACCGCTGGCGTCTACTGCATAGACCGAAACTTGGTCTCATTAGACTGAAAGTATACGAGAATAACCGTCTGGTGGCTGACTCTGGCAATGTATACGACTTCACTTTGAAGGGAGGACGGCTCGGAGTCTTCTGCTTCTCACAGGAGATGATCATTTGGTCTAACCTCGTTTATAGGTGTAATGGTAAGGCTTTTGACATCTATCTTTCTTTGATGTGTGCTTCTAGATCATTGTTTCTTTACTAGTGAGTTTGAGTATGATTTTTTTATATTGTTTCTTAGTCTTAGTCATTCTCTCAGTTTTGTTGTATACTGAAAGTATTTTGTAACTGAAATGACATCAGTTTTACCTTTGTCTCTTTGTTTCTGTCCATCTGTAATTACATATTTTTCCACCGTAGACCGTAGCGTAGTAGACAGACATACATAACTCCCAACGTTAATAATAATTCACAAGAATTCTTTAAATTTTAAATTAGTTCATAAATTAAGTAAATCTTCTTTTCAATTTCCAGATAAAATCCCTTCGAACATAGCGACGGAGCTATCATCGCGGAACAACTTCGAAGTAGACCACGATTTCGTCTACGTTTAGACAATAACAGTTACAATAATCGAGTTACATTTCCACTCGCTTTAAACACAACGTACTTTTGTAACAACAGGACGTTGAATAAATAAAAACGTTGTATTTTAAACAACGGACCATTTTTGTACTAATAAAAAGTACCTAATCCTATGTAAACGGGCGAGTAAAGCATTGATGTTGGAAACATGTTGTGCGATTGTAGCCATTGAAATGTGAAACTTTTGTATTCAACGTGAATTGAATTTCAATTGTGTGGATTTGTGTAAGGTTCATTCTAGATTTAAGTTCTAACATTAATGTAATAAAGTTGTCATTTACATGTTTTGTTTTATTTCAACTTAGTATAATACATATGTTCACCTCGTTCTCTTTACAGTTTCAAGTTATCTTTAACTGATGAGAATAAAACATTTGGTAACGTTGTTCTTGTTAGCCTTGGCTGTCAGTGGCTATAAAAATCAAGTATTGATACTTTTCTATTTTTCGTGAAATGTACAACCTCAATGGTGACAAGGCAGCCTTAAAATTCTAGAAAGAAAAATATCCTATTCAGATTCCAAAACGTCAAGTGGTAAAAACAAAAAATATTTTAGATTGATTCTATTTATCGATTCATTGACAGCGCGTTTTTGAAAAAATATATAATTTTACAGGGTATTCTTAGTAAATATGGATTTCCAGATGGGTGACGCAGAATTTCCACCTGTGGGTTTGGACGAGATCATAAGTGATCTGTCAGAAACAGACAATTGCACAATTGACGATCAACCAACAAAACTGTCTCCCATAGCCGAGGTGTCTTCAGAGCAGATAATGGCCGAGGAGAGTAACAGCGACCCGAAGCTGGAGGTACCGTCCGCCTCGTCCAGCAAGTCCAAAAACATGTCTGTCAACAGCGAGACAAAGCCGAGCAAAGGCATCCAGGAGTTTGTAAGGATTCTGCGGCCTCACCTGCCGAGGAAATCGAAGAGCAGGGCCTACAAACTGTTGCAGAACATTGCCAAGGGGATCGTGGTGGAGAGTTCATTCCAGCGGAGGATCAAGAAGAAGAGAACACGGAAGCTGACGTACCGCAAGCAGACGCGCAACATCAAGACGAAGTCTCTGAACAGCATGCGGCGCACGCTGCGCAGCCTGTACGGGTCGTCGGACTCGTGCCACTCCAACGCGTCCTGTCCGCGCTGCGGGTACACCTGCTGCAGGATCACCAGGTGCTGACTAGCGAATGTGAGGAAACTACGTCTGCTTTTTTAGTGCTCATGTTTTCTGTATGTGTCGTAATAAAATTTTGTATTTTTTTTAGTCTTTGTAATGTTTTATGATAATTTTATAACATTAAAATTGTTATTTTTAAAAATCTTAATGTTTGTTCAATTTCGTTTCTGGTAGTTCAACTTCTACAAGATATTATCTTCTACAAGATATTATCTTGTAGAAGATCTTGTTTAAAACTAAACATCACATGGCAATAGCTTCACCCCCTATTACACGGGAATCGTAACTTGAAAAGTGAAAAGTGGGTGTTACGTTGTAAAATGGCCTTAAGTGCCGTAATGAGCACCGTTGCCCACCCCTTCGGGGCTAAAAGGCGTGATGTTATGTTATGTTAAACTTCACATTTTATTTTTATTTTAAGTTAATTTCGGTAAGTAGTTTGTGAACTGTCTTGGTTCGTTGTAGAAACATGAACTGAAATATTTTTCTAGTTTTCATTGTAAAACTGCATAATTTTGAGACAGTAGGTATGCCGTGCACAGCAAACATCTGTTCTGCAAGTTGAAATATTTCTTGTAAGTCAAAGTTTTTCTATTCATGTTCAGTATGAAGTATCTAGATGAATTGTCTGGACTTCCGTCGTTAAGTCCAAGAACATAGGGATCAGTAAAATAGGGCAAAGCTTTATTATCCTGCAGCGGCTAGAAAAATCAGTCATTGGAAAAATAACATGAATAAGCTTTGTGGAGGGAGGATAGGAATTATTTTTATTTACAGTAGGTAAGTAGGCAGGGTGTAATTTAATAAATGTTAAATTTTATCAATAAGGGACTACCATATTCAACTTGTAGTGTAACGAGGTACCTACATTTATATACTAATAGCGCTATCCTGTAACTTCTTCATGTTTAGGGTCACGTGCGGTGTACGTGCCATTCAGATAGCACTCTTGAATTCACGATTACATACTTCGTAATCTCGAAAACTGTACATATTTTTCGTTATAAGATTTTATAAACTTATAGGTGATCTTAGTATAAACGAATGCCTTTATGAATTTTAATTTAATAAATATTGCTGAGCTTAGGATATTTCTTCGAAGTCTTCTATCTTTATATAAAAATGTCTACCTAAACACTTAATAATTACAATATTGTCTATGTATAGTCTTTCATTTAAATTACACTTTATATTCCCCATGGTTGGTGTTATAGTCAAATTGGTAGATAAGTCTTTGGTTATTGCTAAGTGCTTTAGGTGACGTACGGAGCTGGATTTCCACCTAAAAGCTGGGTGGCTAATTGCTGCGAGGATTTTCGGTTCGATTCGATTCCCGCATGGAACGACAAATGTCAATCAAAAAGTAGAATGTAGTAAATGGATTTTATATTAAAATCCTTTACATTACGAATCATTATAACGAGTAAATCATATTTAGTTACAGTCGGTATTTACATGTATGTAGCTTCAATCATGAGCTATATGTTTAATATTAATAGGTAGGTACATGATTTTAACTGACCACTCATAACCTTCAAGAATTCAAATCTGTGCGGTTTGTGATAAGTTTCGATGGAACCACAAGATTAAACGGTGCCCTGTCACTGTCAGCCCGTTTTCAACCCTTGCACTGATTTATTTATCCACAGTTAACAAGATTCATTTATCTATTCATGGAATTAGTGAATTGTTTTAGACACCAGCATGCATGTATGGCCGCTATAATTCAAGATTCCATGCTGCAAATTTTCTTTGCTTTGATACAGTGACTGTCACGGAATGCTGCTCATGAATATGAGCCTCTAGCACGGCTTGAGATTAGGCTTACAGTAGATACAACCATGAAAACACCAGAACACTGAAGTCCGGCGCGTCCCAGGGACATGAATAACTGTCTTGGTTCCCGCAACGAAGTGAATCAGAAGATATTATAAGAGAAGAAAAATAACGAGTTTCCACTTCTCTCGGTAAATTACTGCAGGAGACAGTGTAATTTTCAAATATTTATAGTTACTTATCTTATATTCTGCTTCCATACACATAATTAAGCTTATTTTACCTTTTTTTTTTTGAGGGGGGAAAATCATCCAATGACTTCTCCCGCCTGGGTGAGGCGGGAGGGAGTGTCAGACTCTTACTGACTAAAAACCACCCCGTTCCTACACCTGCACTTCGAACCGGAGCCCCGGCAACCCGTTAAGTCTTCCGCGGCTCCGTATCGGCATCAGCCTTTTTAGGCCCCATCTGTGGTGGTCTGATGGCTCCTTGAGGCGCGCGCGGAACGCGACGCGCCGTACGCTCGGGCCTGGGTGCTTACTCATGAATCCAATTCCGATCGATCGACATTGACATTGTGAAATTTCGTACCCTTGAGTTTCAACACTAGCGCCTATTGCATCCGTATTGCGTGGATATTTCATGAACTATATGGTATTGAGTTTGGTTTTATATTCCGTACTCTAAATGCTACTTTAGCAGCTACGATAGGGGTTGTATAGTTTTGACATTGAATAATTATTGAGATTTTATTGGATTGAAATTGCATTGACATTGCGATTGGTTTCAAGAGTAAGCACCCTGGTTCTGGTCGGGCGGCGAGTCACCCATGCTCGCCGTCCGCAGGCCCGTGCTTACGGTGGCCGGAGATCGTCTCGCGATCCCCGACGCCCGGAAAGCTTATTTTACCTGGGTTTTGTACGTAGGTATTTTCTACATCACGTATAAATCAGGTATAAGTATAACAATTCTGTCTAATTTGTTAGAATGATAATTTTGAAGTATTTTGCTATTTTAAGATTTCTAAGATTTCCTAGAAACTTCCTAGTTAGGACAAAGAGTAGTGAATAATTTCAAGCATTTCTTCCTTTAAGTATTTAGCTCCAGGCTCTTTAATTTCGGGACTGCGGCTACCTGGATTCCGTAGTCGATCCCCCGGGAGATTTGTCTAATGCCTCTCAAAAAGGTAAAGTAGCTACTTACCTACATAATGTTATTAAAAAATTAATACTGGCTCAATAAATCGGAAAGCTTCATTTTACAATAAAAATCTCGGTACTTAAATAATTTATTGCGATATAGTATAATGATTTACCCTCAGGACTTCATCCAATATTTATTTTTCATTACATTTATTGGAAATGCTAATTTTACCCAGTGTATCTGGTAGTCGCAGTGTTTGCGAGCGACTCCACGCAATGCGGATATACTAAGGGGAGAAATTCGGTAAACATATTGTTATCCAGTACTGGTTAGGAAACGTATGATATTTGTTCTTACTAGAACATTTGATATCCTCCTTTTCGTGGTTTTACAGTCCATGGAGATATAAGTTCCGGTCATGACTATGTAGGAACATCAGCAGCCCATGATAGGACTATGAGCTTCTTTTACATAATCGCAGTTATATCGTAGATAGAAACGTTGCATATGTAACGTAAGTACGTACGTAGGTTTAAGGATTTATTCGAGGAATTTCTACCACTAAGCGGTAGGACTAGAAAATTTGAGACACTTTATCCTTTGTAGTACCTATCGTAGAAAATTAGTAACAGAAATGACTTAGACTTGACTTTTATAGACTGTATTAAAAGTCAAATCAAATATACTAACTCCAAACTGTCATCTACTCGTTTAAACAAAATCGTCCATGACACTTCAATAAATAGGCGAGCTCTATTAATTAACATTAGATAATTTTGGCAATTCAAAACCCTTACAAATAATTACTGGCGGTCGACTGGACGGGCCCGTAAATAATCATCGGTGGCGAAGTTATTAAGTTGTGAAATCGAGCATCTATTACGAGCACCAATAAAGCGCCGATAACTGCCCACTATAGTTTACAGACGATCAACAAATATTGTTATACCACCATTTATAGCACGTTTATTGGTCCTTCAAACTTGACGATATATACTGAAACACAATAAATAAGGTTCGGAACGCAAACAATAAAACAAACAACTTGTAATATCACAAATATAATATTTATTTACCATTGTACATACTTTATAGATACAACTCAGATGAAGTAGATTTTATCACTCTGAAAAATATTGAATGAATCGAGTCTAAGAATAAAATATCCCAAAGGTATCCCAATAAGGACAAGTTTTGTCTTGAATAATTAAAACGTTGTGCTAGAGACAAAGATGATTGAAAGATTTAAAAATGATGATTAAATGTTTGTGCGGGTGAAGCGTCGACAGGTCGGAGGCGCTCGGCTCGCTCTCACAACATTTTGGTAAAAAATAACAACTTTAACATTTACACATATGTACAATTACATTACTCACTACTCTTCGTAAAATATTTCTTATTAGGTAATAAACTATATGGAATAAAATTGGACTATTGATACATACAACTGAACGTCTCAATTCCTCGGTTATAATATGTAACTCGATATGATGTTTGAAACGAAATTGTACCTTTTGTTACAGTAATATTTATGTTCACTCTGCTGGAATGGAAACATTAACATTGATATTTTTGTGTGACGATTTAAGTGTGCGTTGGAATATTATCAAACTACTATTTATCATACGTTATTCATTTCCATTGCAGCGTCTGAAATATCAGTACCATTAACAGAATGTTAGGTATGATTGGAAAGTTCGCGAGTCGACAATATTGTTGTACTGGTGAGGACATCGCGGCCGGTAACTGCTCTTTTATTACAACACAACATATTGTTGACACTAAACTTGACATTGACTGTGAAATATTCGGTAAATATCGTGTTTACGTACTTTCAAATGGCTTTTCCATGTAAGATATAAATACATGAATAATTACACTACGCAGCTGTAGGCATTCAGAAATAATTGTAGTACGTACAAAATTATTGCTTCCTTAATATCGCCCGACCGAACGCTAGCATGAGATATGGTAAATCCTAGTCATTGTCTACTAAAAGTAAAATAATTTATTGCATCTGTTCACCTTAACAATATATCGATGCTTAACATTACAGTACTCGGTATAATCAACTTATTAAATATACAATAATCACCTTCATACTATTTCATGTTCTACAATTATATACAGAGACGAATGCTATTTCATTGTACTGCAAATATAATAAAAATGGTAAAATTTGCACAAAATATTTGGTATAATTGAACACATTGTGATGACCGTTATTGGGGGACGAAAGAAAAACTATATGGATAGCTTCGTCACGGACGACACTCGAATTATATTTCATGAACCGTTTGGTAGGAACGAAGTGTATAATTTATTAAAATGTGTTGTAAATTCATATACAAAATTGATTGTCAATTATCGAATAAAATGAAGGAATCAAAGTAAACGGGATAATGTATGTAAGGGGCCACATAATGCCGTGGTAGTGTGATATGTAGCAAACAGTGGTAACCCAATCCCCGCGCGGGCAGTGCTCACTATACAAAGCTCGAAGAAGCGTAGACTGGTGAACGTCCAACAAGTCCACGTGGCTCCCCGCTATAACTACAATATGTCCTAATTATATAAACGTCAGTACCTCTTATATATCCTTTAACTCTGACAACAGTATATACATCGTGAGCACTAGTATTGTCGATTGTCTTTCCCCTAGTTCTTATTTCTGAACCGTTTATATTCTGTACAATAATTTCTATATCTATACAAATCTTTAAAGTAGGAATATATTTGTTTAAAATCATCCTACTTTACAGATTCGGTCTAAGTGAAACGGGTACGAAATGACATGCATTGGACCATGTATCTACAGACAGTATATTAAATAGCGACACGGCGAATTTACAGCTAAGTATAAAATCCTTTCAACGAAGAAGAAATTTAGAAAAGATAGAAAGTGAAATTGAACCTTAATATATTTTTCACAAAGTTCATTTTTTTTTGTAAATAAATACCTACCATGTTAAATACACAGTCTTCGATATTGAAGCGTGAAATGAAAGTGTAAGAGATGGCTGTACTGAGAGATTGTGTGAACAACATTCATTAGCTTGTTCAACTTATCTCTAAGCTCCGCGACTGTACAATGAATATTGCTCGTGGACATAAAGCCAAGGATACACTAGTGGACAAATGTCTTACGCCACGTATCGCCAGCGACGTTGGGTGAAATAGCGCTTTTGTCGACATGTCTGGCAACATCAACGTCGCCGTGGACATAAGACGCGAGTTTTCACCACATTACATTATATCAGGCGAAATCGGCAGGCTTCGCTTCAACGCCGTAGAACATTTGTCCTCTAGTGTATCCTTGGCTTTCCTTCATATATTTCTACACAACCTGAAATACTACGAACGAATCGACAAGTTGTTTACGTAACAAAATGTAACAAAATCCCTTAAGTAAGTATATAAAGGTAGTAATTGAAGACATCCGATATGGTAGAGTTTAGAATTGTGTTGAATTCAGTCTGTTAGCATCACACAGAATGAGAGTATCAACTAGGTAACATTGAAAAGGGTCCCAAAAGGCCTACGAAGGGCGCTACAAGTTCGTCGAAAGTCTATCGTTAAGTATTTGGTGTTAACAATTATTATGGCTAATACTTCACTAGGTCAGTGCTGCACTGCTGGGGTTGCCTTCAGCAGCGGGGTCTTTGGACGCTTCACTATCTTCTTCTTACCTGTGTACGAGGAATAATTCGCTGTTAAAACATTATACAATTGTTTTGATTAAAAGTATGAAAATAATTATAAATCATTATTTTATTTATTTTTATCGTGAGACATGCTGAATTAACTAAAAATTACGAGTTACTCATGTCAATATACTTTACAATGCAGTAGGCTGCGCGACATTGCCACGACCGCGCACGATGCTCATGAGGAAGAGTCCCTCTGGGGCTCGAAACTAGTGGTTGTCTCAGAATATTATTTAACGTAAGTAGCTCATAATTTTTAGTTGTTATTTTTTTGTGATATTTTATTTGTTATTTTTTTTTGTATTGGATCTATCCAATACTGAACTTCTTCAGATCTTTGTCCTTATGTCCAGCAGTCGATCGCAAATCGATGATAATGAGAGAAGCTTGTAACTTCTACGTCGAAGCCACAGTAATCTCTTGCGCTTTCCCGTAGCTCTATTTTCGTAGTCATAATTGGAGATTTATTTAACTGTATTCATATAAAATACTTCGCAGATAGTGTATACTGACCGTGTCCTTAGCACATGGTCTCGGGCCGGGCGGGTCCGGGCGGCTGCGGCGGCTGGTCGGCGGAGCGCTGTCGCGGCAGCTGCGACGAGTCCAGTACGATGGACGGCCGCGGCGGCAGGCTCTCTGACACCATGTGCGATAGAGACAGCTCGCTTGAAGCGTTTGTGTCGCCTGTACCGAGGAGATTTGTGTGAGTTACATCTTTTTATAACTGTTCATTCACAAAATAATTAAATGATTTGTTAAGTAATTTCGATTTTACAACTGTTCGAATAGTTATTGTAAGATCCTTATATACGCAAAAGGACAATGGACCCTACTCTACACCACATGTAAAAATGCGTCAATTTTATGAATTCTGAAACTCAAAATCTCAGTGATAATTCTATCAAACCGGGAATAGAATTCGAGGTTACGTGCTCCTAATTTGTGTAGCGTGATTTGGAGTTTATTTATTTGGTATATACATAAAGCCAAGGACGGACAACGTCTTTTCGAATTAGATAAACTTTTACTGTCAACCAGTCTACCTTATTAGAAAGAAAAAGAGAAAAAGAAAACCTTCCTTAAGGCATAATTTTAATCATAATTTAGATATCGCCCTATCAAGTACAAAATATATAGCCAAATTTAATGTAATTACGCTTACCAGAAGGCTGTCGAGGTACCGGCAGCAGTACTTCTCCACACGCATCGTCATCCAGCAGCGGCTGCAGCGGCGACGGCAGCTCGCGACTGTCGATAGCTGACGACCGACGCAACGAGTGCCTACCGGAACCGACGCAACGAGTTTAATACAAGTAAGAAGCTAAAATGACTAATTTTATTAAGCTCTGTTGTATTGTCACACCAGAACTACAGATCAAGCTATAAAAAACCACCCTATCATGGTCCGGCTTTGATGAAATATCGGGTGAACTTTTTAATTAGTTTCTTTCGTTACAAAGCAAAAGAACTATATAAGAGTCAAATTATCTGTCAGTTTGAGTCTGTGAAATAAAATTTTTGACTGTAGTATTTAATAATAGGAGAGTAAATTAAAAGTAAAGAATTTATATAATTTAATGTAAAGAGTAATTCTGAGAACAGTGTTCGAATCAATTACAATTTATTGGCCTGATAATAGTGATCTAGGTTTTCTAAACCATTAATACTTCTGAAATCTTTACAATGATTATTGCTGGCGAATAACAGGTATTCGGTTGATGACGCCTAAGTGTAAATCTGTCAACACTCGTTAACAGTTTTTAACTAATTTTAGAGTCCTAGAGCTTTTAGCTCGTCATTCAACTCCAAACTGTAGATTTTTTTACAGAAACTCTGAAATATCTTGTTTATTAGAGGTTGTCACATACCTCTGGTGCGGCAGGCGTCGGTCGCCGACGGTGAGATGCGAGGCAGCCTGCGGCGGCACGGCGTGGTCGTCCCCGGCGCTGGTGTTGACGCAGACACTGATGCTGATGCCGCTGACGCCGCCCCCCTCCCCGCCCTCGCCCTCCTCCTCCTCGTATCTGTCCAGACCACCCATTTCTAGGCTACAGCACAAACGGCTGTTGTAGTAAAGATCGAGTTCAGGACGCTCACAAAAGCTATAAGCCAAGGCCGAAGCAAGCTCAGCGCTTCTTCACGTCCTTGCTGCACATGTAGTCCAGTGATGGATTATGATGAGGTCCTGTTGTCGAGTCGTGCTTTCCGAAATTTTCAATTGTTACTATGTTACAAAGCTTTTTTTAGAATGACTGTGCTCTTTTTTAATTCTCAGTTAATGTAACTACTGATTTTATGAGTGATAGAAGAACTGTTTAGAAATACTCACCTTCACCATCCGCTGAAACTTGTAAAACATCTTATACCCTATAAAAACTAATCTGTACGGTGTCGAGTGTAATACGAATAGTTTCCAGTCGAGAAACCACATCAAGGTTTACATCAAGAAGATTTAATATCACCGCTTGGGCCAACAGTTCGGAAACTTCGGTGTTTGTATCGTCATTATTGAGACCAATATGTCGTTTAACCTCTGAAGTTTGTCGGGACGAAGGATCTATTTAATAATTGTTTTAGTCTTGAACTCGAGACATCTAAATCTGTGGATTAATTTGTGAAGCGTTGGGATTGTTGGACATTGTATTCGGGTGACGAACTTTATCAAGAATTTCGATTTCAGTAATGATTATGTTCTTCTAGTGAGAGGCTATGTGTATGCTGAGCATTGTGAGTAGCAGTAGTGAGTAGCGCTTTACAATATTCATGTTGACATTAGTAACACGTGCAAGATGCTACATACATCACTCAGCTGATACATTGTGATTTACAAATATGCGGATTTACCCTCCACCATGCTTAACAATTACATGTAATTGAAAGCTATGCATTGTTTGTCAGCCTGCTCGAGGAGACCACTCACCGCCTCTGGATCAAGTTCTCCATGATGATGTAGTCATCTTCCTCGGCTCCTCGAAGGTGTTCTTTCTCCATGAACAAGGCGAACTCGGGGTTGGACATTTCGCTGGCGTGGCGGCGACGAACTGAAGGAGAGGCTGCTCGCGCCGGTGACAGGAGGCGGGAGGTGATTGGTGTCCTTGGGTAAGAAATACATTGATAAATCAAAATTTGCTTCCTTATTCTGTACCTATACAAAAAAAGCTTCAATCCTTACCTGGGTGTATGTGGTGGTGAGAACAACCCATATACGGTTTCCAGTTCATCAGTGATGCTGGTGTACTCGTGCATGGCTAGCAGCAGAGACCGAGGTGCTCCACCCACTCGACTGCGACCTGAAGGAATGCCCGTAGCACCGCCCGTGGCTTCCCAACCCGACTGACGGCCTGATACAAAGTAAAAGTGTGTAGCACCCAAGTAGTAATCTATTAGTTACCATACCATATACACATATTATATACCAAACTTACGAACTTTTCAAGCTTCGGACGGTTCATTTACTTGAATTATTCGAGTTTATTTGCTTATTAATTTCTAGCCACAAGCGGGACTTATACATACGGTTGTAACAATAATTAAAATTAGTTAATCAATACATACTTGTTCCAGTGACGGAGTTGTGCACGGAGCCGGCGTCGACGGCGGAGTTGTCAGGCTCGGAGTGTGTCTGACTGTGTTGGCGGCGCGGCGCCAGGTGCTGCGTGGAGTAGTGGCCTCCCATGCCGCAGTCATTGCCACCCTCCGAACGCCTGGTAACACCACTTCGCTTTACACCTTTGGTTTAGTGATTGTGTATTTTGTAAAAGATGTGCAGACTATGACTTTGATATCCTTCCACAACAACCCTTTAATTAATTATTCTCTCAGTTTCATGTTTACAAAAACTTCCGACAGATTTCCTTACATCAATTTTATAAAATTATGTTAATGCAGTGAAAGTCGGCACATCTTCAGAAGTAAAATAGTAATGGCCCACAAGAGAGTGGCAGAAGTATGTGTGCAGTGGCAGTTTAGTAGAAGTATGTATAAATCTTTGTTGAAATAAATCCAAGTGGTAATAATTTAGAAGTTAGTAAGTAATGTGAAGACAAGACAATTGAAAATACAACAGAGAGCGACAGTGACGTTAGAAGATTAAATAATTATAATGTTGCAATGGTCGTACGTGAAATAATTTCGAATTTAGACAAAGCTTACCTGATGACAATGTCTATAACAATATTAGAAATCGGAAAAGAAAACGTTGAACGTGATGATACTGAATATTGTAGAAAATGTTTTCGAATTGATTGATTGTGGTATTTTATGGAAACGACAGTTGATTATATAAATTAATAGCCAAATAGAAAGTCCAATATTGTTACGATAGAAGTAAGTATTGATTCGTGTTAAAATGTACAGAAAGACACAGATGCTTTAAATAAAATTGCGTCACATTAAAAACCGTGTCGTGTGTGACTGTCGAAAGTAGTGCTTGTTAATGCTAAACATATTGATATTCGAGCGTGTACACAAGCTGTAGATAAGTGAATGTTTATTATATTATACAGTAAGGCAACTACGTCTAACTACATTCGCTAAGAAGCTAAGCCAATCGCCAATGACTCTATTTGACTTACTGTTTCCACAACCGTCTCCTAACAGATGCAAGAAGGTAACAAAAAATAAAATTAAAAACAATTATGGCGATGATAATTTTGGTTTTGTACAAATAAACACAATAATTGCCGATTTTGTGAATGAAGAATATAGAAATGTGTGGGATTTGGTGGCTGTGGATAATGCTGATGATGATCGCATTCACGAAAATCGACAACTTTTTAATATTATTAAACTTATTGTAGTATGTTGCTTTGTTCTTAATGTTATTCCATTCTAACGATTACAATGTATTTCAGATTGCTACCAACATTAGTGTCATCATTATAATTAAGACCAAACAATCAAAGTTTCTGTCCAGAGCGGCCAAAACTCCATCACAAATAGTTCTTTCAAAACAAATCATGAAGTAATGGTTAATGAGAATGGCAATTAAGAACAAAAGGTAACGCGGTCATGCTTCGACGGTAGAACGTAGTGCTGGGGCTTGCACATACTGATGCAAGTGCAAAAACACAGGAAATCTGTTCAAAAAACTTTTCTAAAATAATTTTGGAGCATTTTTTTTTTATTCAAATTATAATTCCATTAGGAAGATAATTGCATTTTCGTAACGATTTTTATATATGTATGTAAATAAAATAAAATGTTTTATTACATATTCGTTTTATGTGTGATTGCAATCATCGGGCAACCTAAGTAAATTTCTTTTAATAATTTTCATTTTAAGTATCAACAGAGTTAAACAAAGTATAGTAAAAAATATATTGATTTATGCAAATGAAGGAATCCTTAAACAGATCTCTTGTAAAGTCGTTGGGGTTTTTGCACTTACATTAGCATGCGCTGAACCCGTTGTTGGCACCATCTGGTGGCGACGGTCCTTCCATTACCATACCTATGTTATGTATTCGGAAACTTTATCTAATGTTTCGGTCGTAATTTGGTTGTTCCATGATCATAATGGTATGCACATGCTCTTTCTTCTTTGCGTGATTTTGATGCCTCTATTGATCTCTTGCTTACCTTATCAGTGACATGGAATTGGTGCCCAGACTACACTGAGTAAACATGTTTAGTGATATTTAGTTATTGTTATTCTTTCGAATGGTTGGGCAGTGTATTTACATTATTATTGCACATTACTACGTATTGTAAAAAAGTTAATCCAAAGTACGGCCTAAACATTATTGGAACTGAAATGAAACTGGAATCAGTTCCAGACGGTTCATTTCATTGGCTTTGTGAACTATCGTGAAAGTTTTGCAGAGACGTGTAACTCAGTACAGTTTGTACGTACACAAAGCACCGCTAATTAGTTGCAGCGCTACACATCGACACAACTGTCATTTACACAGTGTACATGTGTGCGTAATTTCATATAACTGTATATAAAAATATTCGTCCACCACGTTCACATTGGTATTTTCATTCTTGTGTCGGTATACGTATTTTTATAATTTAATGCATAGGTAAGGTTAAAACTATTTACAATCATTGATATGACCCGACATTTTCACTGTCATTATCGTAGTGCTCGTGGTCGATTGGTTAATGAGCACGCTTTTATCGTCTTTCAAGGATCAATGATGTGGGTTCTATTCCAGCTAAAAAGTTAATTTTATTTTACCTTGTTATTTTTCTTATTTTTTTTTTGTTTTTTGTCATAAAATATAAATATCAGGCTATAAAAGAAGCAAATGAGTTGGTAAATAAAACAATACTATTTTTTATTACAATTAATTTATTTATTATACAAATATGTTGTTTTATATTCAATATTTATATCTAATAATTAATTATATACCACATGTTAAGTTTAAAGTTCTTTAAATCATAATTAATAGATATGACAATAAACCTCATAGTCGAATCGGGAAATATCATGCGGTACAGCGGTAATACGATGGCAGCAACATTTTTTATTAAGTAGGTAATAAACAAATATACAACATTCTTGTTTTGTAATTTAATAATATAATGTATTATTAAATTACAGTTTTACAGTAATAAACAAGTAAAACATGTAAAAAATTACACTGTCAAAATATTTCTTGAAATGGGCGACTTTTTGTCGTTTGAACTTCCATTAATTATCTATTTTACGACGGTTGTTATAAGGTTCAATATTCAGTGGGCTGTATGATAGTAAAAAGAATGTGACGAATGCTATGGAACGATTTTAACTTTCATGACCTTTAGAATCAGGGAAACTTTAAATTAATTGAAGATGGGCGTAAATATAATATGTCAATCAAGTTCGAAAGCAGTTAAATAAATTTGTTAATGAAAAATTAAAGTGAAGTGAATAAACATGTTGAATAGAAAGAAATTATGACAATTTCTAACCACAAAACAATAACATCACTTCACCGTATGTTCTAGACAGCATTTTAATATTCTTAAAAAAATTAAACATTATTTTATGTTAATTTTAATAAAGGCAGAGTTTGACAGGCTCAATAATTGATTCCGAAATCAATACAATCACTGATCCTACAAGGCAGAAGGTTGCAATTCGTATACCTTTCTCCATCTTTTCTTCACAATATTTTACGCCCATCCTTATCCGACTTGAAAGTCTTTTCGTCGCTCAATATGATTACACTGTTCGCCCAATCAAAATTAATAAAGTCCTTAGCAAATTCTTAGCGCTTTTGCTGGTGAACCACAGATAACAATATTTTCTTCTCTGGCTTCCTGCACCTTAAACCAGAATGCAGGTGTCTCCGTACAGTTTGTATTAAAACATTCAGTGCTGTCGCTGTAGTGCGGGTTGGCAGGAACGGATCAGCCATGTGCCTGGCTACGATGTCGTAGTGCCGAGCCGATGAATTTGCCTTTGGTTTAGGCCCACGTCGACGATGTTTAACGTCACCGGTCTCCGCATATCTGTGCACCCATAACTGCATGGGATCTCCTCTGTTGATACCAAACAAATAAGTATTTAAAATACCAGGAAATACTTTACAGGAATTAAAGTTACTTAAAAATAATAATAAATATAAGTAAACACAATGTTAGAATAATAATTTATAATTAAGTAGTGGCGTAAGGAATAAAAATCCCTAACCAGATATGTTTTAAAGAAACACTCCTAACAAAAACAAGTCAAGTTACAATACAATTAATAATAAATTATTAATATATCTTTATAATATTGAACTTCATAATAAGTTGCAATAATTATTTTATTCTAGTGCAAAAATTGATAGGTGTGTCGAGTTACAAAATGAAATAAATATTATTTAGAATATCAACGTAGTATCTTATTTACTCACCGATATCATTAAACGCCTTGCTATTTCAGTTATTGTTAGTTATGTTTTGCTCATGCAAAACAATGGTTTCAGCCTTTTTAAATGTTGATAGGTGTTGGAACATCTTGTAAAAATAAAAATAACTTTGCACACGAATATAAGTAGTGTAGCAATAAACTATGAAATCCTCATAAATTGACAACTAAGAACGCAATTATTTTGTAAGTCGGGTGATTTGAAAAACATGTTTTAAATAGTCGGTAGTTACTTCATAAGCGTGTAAAATAAAATGACTCGAGATTTCTATGGTCGCCACAAACATTGCAAATATACTCAGGTATCGAACCATTAAGAAATCACAGTTAATTACTTTTTTACTGTTTTTATCTTATTTAAGTTGGTTGAAATGCATGAAGCAAATGAGATTATTCTAAATAATAAATAACTAGAACTAAAATATAAATAAAAGATATTATAGGTATAAATAAATCTAAAGTATTTACTATTAAAATTAACATAAGATTTAGAACAATAGGAAAGGAAAAAAAAGAAAAGATTTAATTGTTTCTAATTTCAAATTTCAAATATTTGATAAATTAATTCTAAAACAACATGTGAATGTTGGAATCGATCCGGCGGCACTTTACTTGACAATTGGAGGCGATAACCATTGCGCCAAGCGCGCTGTAGATGAAATCATCGAAATATTTTATATCATTCAGTAACATAAAATTACAATGAGAAAGCACTATATTTATATGGGTATTGTATAGCTCGATCGTTCATTATTTTTGATTTCGATTTATTCAAAGTTTGTTATGAGTAATTTTATCTTTACCCTCGTTTTTATTTAAACTTATTTACTAAATTATTGCGTATACCGACACAAAAATGATTTTTAAATACCAAGATGTGTGAGATAGACGATTGTTTCTATACATATCTATTGATATGAAATTACCCACACATGTATATTGTGTAAATGATAGTTGTGTCGATGTGTAGCGCCGCTAACTAATTAACGGTGCTTTGTGTACACCTTCCAAATGTAAGTTATTAAGAACAAATTGTGTTATAGCTTACCGTCTGGTGTTGGCAGTACGCCTAGTTCCTGCTGAGGTGGTGCGAGGACGAAGACTTTGTAGATCTGTTGGTACCTCGCGCACTTCTGGCAAGAAAGCGTCATCTGTCGACGATGCAACTAGACGAGGAGGTAGGTATAGATCTAAATCAATAAAGACATCATTTTAAATAAGTCTTCAAAACTATATTAAATTAAATAATCTTGGTGTAAGTTAATGATTGCCTTACCTTTCTTCTCATCGCTAGGTTCCGTCCTGTTGCTGTCTGATGACCTCTGCCGGGCTGGTGTGATGGGTGGCTGTGCTTTGACTACGGTTATATTAGGACCTGCATGCCCTTCCCCTGATGACGTTGATATCGAGTCTGCTTCTGGCTCTTTCTCCGCAGCAGCCTCGGGACCGGATTGCGGCATTTCATCCTGATAGAGATCGTGGATGATAGAATGGGAAGGTAAGCAAATATTATTGTTGCTATAAAGCCTTGGGTGTAGATCTGACTGCTTAAACTACTGTTTCTGGTATACTTACCAGAATAACTCAAGGCTTTATTGCTGTTAAGAAGTTGAAATAAAGTTGGAAATAACCAAGCTTAGTGAAACTGCGCCAAAACGCAAAATCTTAAATACAATGAAGTGTAGGTACACCAACGCGAGTTGCAATAATATTGAAAAGCTTTACACAAAACAAAAAATTCATAGAGGTAGTAAATATAACTGTGATGCATAAATCACTTAAAAATAGTAGCTACCAACAATATGAATCTGTCAAACTAAATATTAATCTGAAAAGCATAAATATTAAATTGATGAATATTTTGAACAAAATATCTGCATACTGAATTAAATAAACGTAAGCATAAACAGTTCACGGTGCTGTCCCACACGACACAAAAGCGTATCTTCTGTACTTACTCGGGTCTGGTTTCAATTTCTCGTAACGAAATTACAATATTATGTTAGCCAATTAAAATTATATACAGCTAGTTCGGCTGGCTGCCCAAACAAACGTGTTGCCGACACATTCGCGCCGGGGAAGTTAGTGGACAAATAAAATTACAGGCAAGTTGGACGACAAAATAAACATTGTAACAAATGCTAAGCGTACACAGACTATTTTAGTTTTGTTAATTAAAAAGCTTTCATACAAAGTTGCGTGTGTGCGCAAGAGAGGAAACTCAGTTCAATTTTCAAGTGGAACTTTATAAGTTCCATCTTGGTGCTCTGTGTTTTTTAACCAAGTGGTCATGACTTGCCTGATGTATAACTGATATTTCACCATCATCGTCCTATAGTCCAAAATAAATAAATCTCATCATTATTTTTCGCAAAAGTTCTTAAACGTGTTGGTAAAACTTAGTTTGTTCTAAACATTGTCGTTCAGTTAGATATTCTATTAAATTAGTGCAAAGGAGTATGAGCCCTGTGCGAGTTGTTCGGGCAGCTAGACGAGAGAGAGGGATGCTTACATCGGAGGGTCGCGACCTCTCGTCCTCCTCCTGCACCGGTCGCACGACGAAGCGCGCCGCGCCCGTGTCGCTGTCCGACAGCACCTGTCGTGACGTCACACATAGCTGCCTAACTAGCTCCTCGGTACCACGTCACCCGGAGATTCTCAAACACCATCAACTTCTAAATGTTCTATTCTAAAAGCGTCTGATCTTTGTGTGATAGCTATGTGTAAAGTTAATGAATTTTGTGTGATTGAAAGAAGTAGTAATTATTCTTCGTTGAGAAAATAGTTACAGTTTCACGTAATTAAGAACAAACATCAAGGAATTCAAATTATACCTTGATTTATATTACCTAGTAGTTTAATCCCTGGGGATGTAACTCTACAAGTTTGCACATCAAACGAACAGTTACATAGCCATGTTGATCTTATGAACGTTGGAAGTTCATTTCTAACAGCTCAACATGTTTAACTAATTAGAGAAAATCTTGAAGTGGTTGAAAATAATGAATATTGTGCGGTTGCGAGAAAATGTTTGGTCTAAAAACAATTAAACGTTGTTGGAAACTAACTTTGGAATTGTGGAAACTAATTTTCATTTCCATTTCAAAATTTTAGTTATAAATTCTCAAGGTGAATAAACTCCAAGTTGCAAAGTAGCACTGCTACAAAATACAATACCATACAATTTGGAGAAGTTAAGCAAAGTTTTGTTTAACTTTAGAGAAGTTTCTAATGCACGAGGAGTTTGGATATTATGTTAGTCCGAGATGGACTTGTTAATGCATAACTTGATGCTGTACATTGCATGTTAATGTGGAGTGTTACTACACTGCATATTGATAAGGTGTCAATCTCCAAATGACGCTCAACCAAAGTACACTAAAGCGGTAACAAATTGCCAGATGTTTGACGAGACGTTCCATGTATTGTTATGATGTTGTAAAATTCACATGGAAGACTAGTAAATATCTGTCAACCTGCAGGTTAGGTGGGGACACAAACATTGATTGAAGGACAAAAGTTCAAAATTAGCATTAACGAACGCAAGACATCGACATAACATGCTGATGATGAAACAGAAAACGTTGCGATTAGTGTCCTCAAGCATTCTTGTTGAGTTCAATATCAACAACACATACTGAAATTAATAGAGACACCGAAAACAAAGATCGAAAGAAAATTAAACAGTTTAAACTCCAATTTAGAAACGATCTTTAACTAGAAAAGTTATCTAGAAAAATATAACTTGTGCCTAAGTATCGTTGGAATCGAACCAACTCAATACTTAAGTGAATATATCAAAAACGAATTGAAATTAACGAATAAAAATTAATCTGAATACTTGTGTGAAAAATTTTATCAAAGATAACTACAGAAACATACCTACTAATAAAATGTGTGAGTCAATATTTTTACTGGATCTATTTTGGACTTACCTCAGATCGGTCACTGGCGGTCCGTAGCCTGGCGCCTCCAGCTTGGAAAGTAGGAGGTGGAGGACCGAGGGTGTCTGTGGATCCTCTGTTCACGAGGGAGGGATGCGTAGCCATGAACCGGTGGATCACTGCTAAATGATTCATCGTCTGCTCCGCCACGTCTTCTAACTTTCGTAACCTAAATTCTACACTCTGTAAACATAATTATTGTTAGTAATAAAGTTTCAAAGATTTATGTGTATATCATTTTAACTATGTCGCTTACCTGCACTGACTGTATTTGGCAATTAGCTTTTTGATTCAAGTCTTCCATTTTGGTCGTGATATGTTCTACCCTATCAGTGGTGTTTCTCACTCTCTCTTCTATCGAATTAGACAATTTAACTTCCTGGAATCAAATATGTGTATTAGGATTTAGATCATTAGGTCTGTTATCATCAACTTCTCTTAAATTTCAAGGAACCCTTAAGGTAGGTACCACTTAATGACATTTTAGTTTTTACCAACTTCTAAGTGATACCCAATAGTACAAGTATGGGGTTTAATTCAGATGCTTTCACATGCTAAGTAACTTTTAGTTAAGAGATGGTTTAGGGGTGGTATGTGAAAACGGCCACTAGATACTGTATTTTAAAGGTGCTTGTTAAACTTACTTGTTCCCTAAAATATCCTTCTACACATTCCTCTTCAAAATCATACAACCGTTCCATATCTTCTTTTTCTAAAAACAATTTGAGCCCGTTGTCGTACTGAAACCGTTTGTGCGATACGTTCCTGGTCACCCACTTGCCTATTGCGTATATGTGGCATAACGTTATCAGCGGAGGTGGCAACACTGGCTTCTGTTCGTATTCCATCACCACTGTGAATCTTTGGAACATCCATACCTGGAAATTGGTTGGCTGATTTAAGACACGTAATAGAAGTTTGGACTTTAGAACATCTTTTCAGCAGTAGTTCGAATAAGAATTATTGATTATGTTCTTGATAGAGAAGTTTGAATCAAGAGGCTTTTTTTTTCAAAATAGTAACTTTGTTTGAGAACAAAAAAGGACAAGTGTAACTTAATATTACAAAGTTAAATTAACAACATTTATATAATTGATTACGAAATAAATCTAGAAAAGGGGTCTTGGGAACAACATAATACAAAACATCTACCATGCAGAATTTGTTACAATCACTATTAACTGGGGTAATCGACCGTGATTGTAACAAATTACGGAAAAAAGCAAATTAATGTTACAAACTTAGTTTTCCGTGCCATCGGTTGTATTATTAAAACCTTCCGAAACATTTCCTTAAAGGATTTGTAAAATAATATAACATGTTTAATTATGTGATCATAGATTTACAACGACGGTACGGACAACTAAAAAAAAGCAAATAAAGAAAAATAAAATAAAAAACCTGATGCGAGACTTCATTGACTTCATTAAATATATTGTTAAAGACTGCAATGAGTAGGTTTATGAGTAAAATGTTTGCGACGAGCAAGTACATGGTCATCACGACGGGAGAGATCCACCTGCCGGTCACACACTTGGGCTCGCCGGGGTTCTTCCCGCACTTAGGGTCGATGTCTGGAGCGAACACCTCGCCATACAACATGAAGTACGGTTGGAAGAAGATCTACGGACAACGGGAGCTCAAACTAAAATACCACTCAAAATAATATAAAAGGAAGTAACTCAAAAAAATAAAGTAAAAATCCAACTTAATGTAAAGGGTAAACTAAATACTAATCAACTGAACCAAAATAACCCAGGTGCTAATCTACTCAGGATGATTGACAATACCTACAACTACAGTCGACCACTTCACTTTGTATTAGAGAATAATTTCTTTCATTTTCTCTAAATTTAGTTACAACAAAGACCTTTATAAAAAGGATCTAGAAAATATAAAAGCAATTTTTCGTAATACAAAGTGAAAATGTAGTGTCTACTGATTAAGTCGTCGGGCTCCAACCGTAACGTAATCAAATCTCGCAACAGGCACTAAACAACATCGAAGCTACGACAGATATCGAGTTTGCCGCAAACCTGATGCGACACACCGTTGACTTCAATGAAGATGTTATTGAAGACGGCTATGAGAAGGTTGACTAGTAAAATGTTGGCAATGAGCAAGTACACGCTCATGACCACGGGTGGGACCCAGTGGCCCACGCGGCACTCCTCGAGGCCGGGCAGGCCGCAAGGGGGCGCCATTTGTTCAGCGAACACTTCTCCGTATAGCATGAAGTACGGTTGGAAGAATACCTGCAAATGTTAGTAAATATGGATGCTAGTTTTCATAAAAATAGTGTTCATATGTTTTTGGGTTTGTTAGTTATTTATGATGTTTCTTCAATAACGTGAATATGAGACGAAAAGATGTATTCTGAGACCTCTAAGACATCCCGGTGGATGGTAGTTGCGCTTCAATATAATAACAATCAAAATACATTTAAGGCTCAGTCAAAATAATGGTTAAAGCCGAATGTCATTAGGACCTGACAAACATTTAATGAAATACTAAAAACTTAGGACAAATATAATGTGTTTGAAGATTTTTTAAAATTAATTTTATTTGAAGATTTTGTTATTTGTAATTCTATTTCAAATCCCTATTTTTAAATCAGAATTTTATTCGATAATTTTTATTTAAGCTACAATTAATGGCATTTTACTGAAACATGTAGAAAATTGTTATTGTTTAGGAACTTTAATAGGTAGTGTCACGATAAAATGTAACGACTTACTTCTCTAATAAGATGCCAGCTTGCTTCTTCGTCTGGGTACAAAATAGCTTGCCGCGCGACTCCGAACGACATTAGCACCACCAGTAATAGCACCACGAAGTATATCATGTTTTTTACCATCTTACCCATCATTGTGACTAGAGGACCTGAGTATACAAAGGAGGAGAAAGATTAGATCCACTGAAGTTATTTTACTATTTTATCTGGAATTATATTATGACACAAATTGATATTAGTGGAACGAATCCAAATCGGCAATGTTCATACATGGACAAGACATTTAAATAAGTTTTTTGATAAACGAAAACGACGATACCTTCGTATTAATTAACATAAAGTCTTCTAAAAAGAAATCTTTAAGGGGCAAGGTATATAATGATGAATTGATAAACAAAGAAAAGAAGTTCAGCAGGTTCTCACCTAAGTACTTATTAACTCCCAATATATTCAATATCCTTAAGTACCAATAAATAATATCGACGCAGTAGATGACCCTGCCGACGTCCATGGACACGGTCCTGAACCTCAGGGTCAGGCCGACCAGGAAGAATATTATGAAACCCGCGTCGTACGTGTTCCATAGATTCCACGCCCATACGCTGAACTTATGTCTGAAATGGAACGTGTTCATGTAGCGTGGCATAAGATCCTGGAATTTTAAACGGAACATCGCTACAACATTTTTTGAAATGTCAAAAACCATTTTTGAACCGAATGTCGTTGTGGCCCGGAGGCCTATGATTATGATTTCGGGTTCGAAACCTACGAACAGCAGGTACCAATGTGACATTTTCCAATTTATAAGTACTTTCTAAGATTATTTAGACACCATTGTAAAACGGTGAAGACATTTTCTTCGTCGTGAGGAAACCTCGGCTCATAATTTTTAATTATAAGATTGAAATCAATAGCCCACAATGCCTGGTGAATAATGCTCAAACCTTCTTCGTGTGAGAAGAGGCTTTGCTCAGCAATGGGCACTTATATGCTGTTGATGAAAAATCGTTTTTACGTCATTATTAATACGCCAACAATACCTTTGGAGTTGCGTACGATTTCGTATTTTGCTTTTATTTGAGCTTTAAGCATTACATTACCTTATCAGAAGCTTAGTGGCTAAATATGCCGTTTAAGGCCAATGAGAAACTAACTAATTTATTCTAAAAACAATCATCTATACTATTTCTTTTATATGTTTATACTTTTAAAGTGATTATTCTTGCTTTCGTTATACCTTTGTTAATTTTCTATAGGTATGAAAATTTATACATACATATAGTGGACTGCAATTAGTTTTGATGAGTCAACCACGCGATTCGGACTAAATTGATAAAATATTTTAATAACTAGTATTCACCTGTACACGGCCATCAGATTAACACAAACGCGAACCACTAATTTGCAAACAGAATATTAATTTTCTAGATAAGCTTTGTTATAATATAATAGACATAGAGGTATAAAAAAGAGTATAATAATTTCTGTATCAAAATAATTGTTATTCAAAAACCGTAGTTGTAAATTTTCGGAGTTATAATTTATTTAGTATCCAAAGTTATAATAACTCGCTTAAAACTGAAATCAGATATCGTTTCGAAATGTCAGAGACTTTCAATAACAATAACAATCTAGTTTGATAACGAGCCCGAAATTAATAGTTTTTGATTTGCTAGTAACGGTTCGGTATTTCATTAAAACTAAAATTTTCGTCGCTACAATATTGGAATTGATGTTAGATTCGTTATAATGGATACCTTTTGATTTAAATTGAAATATACAAAGGCAGTTGGGACAAATACTTGGAATTTGAAATTAGCAATTTTCATTACAATAAGGATAGGATCCTTTCCTTGAATATTATAGAAAAAATGTGATTAAATATTTTCTTTAAATTCAATACAACTTTAAAGTACTTTAATAGTAAGTAGGTAAGTATATATGAACATAGTTCTTCGAGTTTGTTTAGATAAAACATGTATAGATGGAGGTACAATAAAATGTTACAACTTACCTAATAGCAACAGGTTCGGACGTAATAATTTCTCTTATCTTCTCACATAAGAACGTTAATATATAACATATAGAATAAATCTCTGGCCAAGACGGCGTCGGGTCCATTTTCACTAATACTGTATATGTAAACATCAATAGGAACAATATGTAGGCTATCTGAAAGGAAAAAATATGTACATTACAAATAGAACATAATCCTACCAATATTACAAATACGAAAGTTTATGTTTGTTTTTTTTATGGCATAAGCCGGTAGACGGACCACCTGATGGTAAGCAATCGGCGTTACAAGTGCGTTACCGGCCTTTTGGGGATTAGGAGTTTGAGGATTGTTGGGGATTCGGGGATTGGGGAGATTGGGGAAGGGGGTAATTGAGCCTCCGGTAACCTCACTCACACGACAAAATACAACGCAAGCGTTGCTTCACGTCGGTTTTCAGTGAGGCCGTGGTATCATTCCGGTCGAGCCGGCCCATCCGTGCCGAAGCATGGCTCTCGCACACTTAGTGTTTCACGTCAAGACAGCTGAAGGGATCAGGATGAAATTTGGAACAAGGGTAGATTATGGTCCGGAATAACATATGAACTATTTTTATCGCACTAGAACGCGGGCGAGGCTGCCGGCAGCCTTGTAACTAGTTGGCATTATAATCGTAGGAACTGAATTAAATATACACGCTACGACATTTACAAATAAGACCTTTACCTATATGTTAACTAAGGTACTTGTACCCTAGTACATGAACTAATTGCATTTATAACTAGGGGGAGTTAGTACTATTATTAACTAGTATGAATCTCTGTTAACTTTGTATTCAAATATTGTGTGTGTTATCCTCCCTAGTAGTCTGATCTTAAGGTTTTAATTCGACGAGTATAGATTCGGAAATGCCCATAGTTCGAAGAATTATACTGTTTATTACTCAAAATGATACTTAAGTAGAAATTACAAAGCAAGCACGTTAGATACTTCAGTAAATATCAGCAAAATATGTTTTGTGACAAAAAATAAGTTTATTTTATAAGAAAATATAAAAATAATTTAAAAACGAAAACGAATTCATCTCAAATACAGATAAAAATACGCTTTGACTTAACTTGACACGGTAAATTGCATTTTATTAAACTCCTCTCTGAGTTTCAATATTTAACAAGCTTTTTTATTTACTTCAGAAAATTATGCTCAAAGGTTTAATATTTTGTTTGAATACATTACTGCTGTAGTTACTAGACTCGTTTGAGTCTAATTTTTTTCTAAATTACTGTAGCATTTTACTCTGTTGAATTGATGTTTACTGTTAATAGTCAGCTCAGATATTTTAGCGAAGCGCTCGAGTCTAGTGTCTTTTTATTTAACACTTTTATAAGAATTTGAATGGAAGTATATATTTGCCAAATTTTCATATTTGTGATTTGACAAAGCAAGATTTTTTAAAAAGATAAAAGGAAAACTTGGGAAAGTCTACTGGGAAATCCGTTAATAGTATACGTTGAAAGTCGGCTCCTATATAAATGTAAGGCTATTCGCAATACAGCCGTTTATTAGTTCAATAAAAGTGACGCGGAAGCGAAATGCGAGGCGATTACATCGGGTGGATATTGATTTTGTCATTTACCGCTCACTGCAGCAAACATACAGGAAACTGACGGTAATTTACATTGATACCAATACGTGTGCGAAATTACAACGAGAATGTTTTTAAATTAAAAAGCATTAAATAGATATTAATTATTAAGGAAATTAAAGAAATTGGGAACTTAGGTACCCATGTAGGGTACCATACACGTTTGATGCTATTTGTTACAAAATAAAAAGGTAAAAGGAATTAGTACTGTGTAAATTTGACGTATACAGCGCGCTACAAAGAAAGCTGAAATTAATATTTACTCGTTTAAAGTCGTGCTAGATGTATATTTCGTAGCTAAAGGCACAGTTTCGAGCGTCGCAATTTAGTGCTTTAAATGAAATGTAAATTCTACGTTAAAACTGTATTGCAATTACAAATTCGTTTCATGTCAAAGTCGTTTCAGTGAATTGAAGTTGTTCATTAAATGGGAACAACTTTTAGTTAGAGAACCATATCGTATACAAAAACTATGATAGGTACCGATTAAAATACCTCTAAAAATTGTGACAATATTTATGAACAAAAAATATAGTAGACAACAAATTACATCGGCGAAGTGCTTGCTGCAGGCAATGGCATAGAAAGTAATGTCAATACAAGAATAACAAAAAGAAACAAAAAAAATCAGGAAATAATAAGGACAAAATTATGCTAATCCTACAGAATTAGCTACGTATACGCAGTCGGCAATTTTTCCGCAATAATTGCTGTGGGAACACAGTAATGTGAATATCACGCGTTTTCGGAAACAAGGAACCTGACCGTCGAAAATTATGGGCCTTTTGTATACAAATTGTGCTTTATTTTTTGCTGGATGTTGTGGTAACGATTTGGGCGAACGAAACTTATTGTTCTAATGGTTCTACTAGTTTTATGTGTTTTTAATTTATTTATTTATGATAAAGAATATTAAAATAATTGAAGTAACTTACCGAATCGGCCCAGAATTTGGTGATGGGCGCCGTGAAGAACTCGTAGATCTTCTTCTTGAGCCTCAGCGGCCTCATCATTTTGTCTTCAGGCGCGTGGGGCTCGGGCAGCTCTCTATACGAGGGTTCCCACCCTATTTTACCAACTTTTCCGTTCTGATCGACACGAGTTTCGCATTCGGCCCCTGAGCCAATCAACGCCTGCTTGAGTCCAGACAAAATCGTATAAACGTTACAACAATATGTTCACACCGTAATAAAATAGAACAAGACTTGGAATAGAGAACATTCATAGTAAGCTTGAGTTGAACAGATAACAGTGACATAGATTTGAACGTTTGCAGCATCATTCTCCAAAGATCAGGCTGAGATGACAACGAGTATGATGGCAGTACGTTAGTACAAGGTCAAGACGCAAGCATGACAATAAGCAGAATATTGATACTAACAACACATACAATATCCAAGTATAAGCTCACGACATCACATCAATCAAGTGTAAGAGTCCACGTATAAAGCTGAATCTTAATAAAATCATCCATATTTAAGAAGAGAATCGTAAAATAATTGTAAACGTAAAAGCGTCGAACGATACACGAGCAAATGCAGAAAATATCTTTAGAATATTGAGACGAGCTTGAGAGATAGGAAATGAAAATAATAACAAAATCTAACTACGGTCGGTCCACGTCGTCGTAAATTTGAAATTTTGTATAGGACAGAAAATTTTATTGTCACAGTTTAAGCTCCACCTCGGATTTATTTTAATTAAAAACGATTTAATTAGTGTCGTCATTATATTTTACGGCGGCACTTGGCAGTAAACCGCTGCGAATGTTTAGAAATTTCAAAGCAACCTGTTTCTTTACAAAAATGTTCCTTACAATTTTAATATCGATGTCTGAGTAAATTAGAAAGACGTCGTAAATTGAGCTTCTTTAGAGGGTCGTCTTGTACGAGTATGTACTAAGAGTGTTAAAATTCAAGGTGAGCTATAAACGAATGACGTGGCCCATAAAGACGGGCGTAAAGACAGCAAGGGGGTGAACTGAGAGGCTGGAAGTTTACGGAGCGCCACGGAAGCCTACTTTCACAGAAAGCCATCGACGTACCGCTCAACGAAAATGTATTTGTGTGTGCACTTTGATGTAATACGAACACAAGAACGTATATTGTGTAAGTGTAAAGAGTCCATGAGGACGACACATACAAATTACTGATTGTGCGAATTCAATGCTGTTGATTGTTCTTGTTGTTTCTTCAGCTAAACACACATTTAATTAAGTGCATTCTGGAAGAATGGTGTTTAGTGGAACGTTTAAGTTTTTGATTCTACATTTTATCTAATGTGTAGTAAATTAGTGCGGTTTGTGTTCGTATCACAATAGACCAGTCGAGTCTCAAAGACGCGTCTACCTTCGTAGCTTTACTCGGCTGTCCAGGCGGTATTATCTTCTTGATAGATAGCGTACGCCTTTTTGCAACTCCAACCTACATCGCAACAATCACATAATAATTTATTCTAACAAACATTATACCACTAAATTATTATAAATCACTATTGTCCTCTTCGCAGTGAGTGAGCATGGAACATGTGCGATGTGATTAATAATTCTACCACCGTTTGTAACAAGGATTAGTCTCTTCACTCAAATAATTTACTTTTTGTTTGTTATGCACGTTATAGTTTTAATAAGCTCTCTCTTGTACAGTCGGTTTCTTTAACAAGATTTTTATCTTACCAAGAAACTTTCTGTAGAGGAGTAATGAATTGAAAACACAAGCAAAGAGACAATGTTTATCCCTGTAGAGAATAATGTGTAATGTTTGCAATAAAAGTGACATAACAAATGGCCAACGTGACGTCATACTTCCCATGTGAATGGTAAAACTAAGATGGTGAGCAACAAAACACGAAAGCTTACCTCAGCGTCGTTCGGGTCCTTCGTACTTCTATCATCCTCGATGCTCTCGTTCTCGAGATGTTCCTCCTCGGTCTGCGGCATCAGCTGCAGTTCTTCCTTCGACTTGAACTCCAGTTGGAGAATGTACAGCGGACACAGCAGGCTCAGAATTACCTTCACACATCACGACAAAGCCGATGTGGCAAAGGAAACGTTCGTCGATGCTAACTCACTTTGACTTAAGCGGAACATGCTATGTTTCTAATTGAAACGGGGATTCGACGCCGATTATGTGCAAGTGAGATAGCAATATACTTCTTTATAAGTATCCAAATGTTGTATGCATGTCTATGAGTCGAATTAAATATTTTAATGTTATTAATTTGACACACATGCCTTAGTGAAAGTTATGGTTTTGAAAGGTCAAGTTGTACTTGCATAAATCGGCGTCAATAAACAAAGTGCATGCGAAATTCCAAATGATTATAATATATAAAGCGACTCATTGACACACAGACATCAAATTATGTTTACAATCGAATTCCGCTGTTATTGTCTAAGTTATGGTCTAACATCAAAATCTACTGATCGTGCCCTTTACTACTAACAAGGGAGACGTGTTACATGTTGATGTCACTCCCACGTCTAGTGGAGCCCTCTAATGGATCTATTCGATATTACTTGGAAACCCATTGCTTACTACATTTGTTGTATTTCCCTCATGCGACTAAAACACGTCTCCTTTATTTTCGCATACTGTAACAGTGCTGATGACAAGGTCTGTGCGTTAATAAGATGAATGACTAAAGAAAAGAAATAAAATGAGTATGAATGTCATTTACCTTTAAATTGGTGTTCTTTCTTGTTCTGAGACCTCCCATCCATAAGTCAGCCAGTATGATTTGTGAGCAAGGGTGAGCAAGCAACGCGCGGTGATTGGCTGCGACGGCGAGGCTGAGACAGGTTTGTCCAGACCAGTTCTGGAGCTCGCACGTCAACAGCTGCTGCGCCTGGTCGTCGTCCTGACGATAGCAGTAGTCTAGAAGCTCCAACGCTACACAAACACGATGAAAATTTAAACAGCTCTTGTAGAAAAGTCGTTAATTAAAGTTTACTGTCCAGCGTATTAGGTCTCCTAGACCTCACGTCCCCTATTTTATGGTGCAGTTAAGTTTATAATAGCTTGCAGCATTAACTCAGTAAACGTTTGTCACTTAAACTTTAATGACCGTACAACAAGACCTTCATTAACTGTTTAAGATTTATGTAGATACCTATTTCTAGAAAGGTTTTACTCGGCACGACTTACAAAGTTTTAAGTTATACAAATAAGTTTCGGTTGAAATTATTCATTACGAATCATAAATATTCCTGTGGCTTCAATTCGTACAGCTGGCAATAACACTTACACGTGGCTTAACTTGTGAACTCGTTTCGTCATATTCAAGAAAGCTACGATTTACAAAGTTTTGATAGAAATTGGTCATAAAATAAAACGTGATCAAAACTTTGGTAGATTGCGGTAACTTTATCGATTATTTTATGAAATTTACGTTGGCATTAACTTTGACAAATATGTATCTTTACAATCTTTAGCATCTGTACTGTACCGATGTGAAAATTATTTCAAAACTAATAGTCATCTTTTTATTTGACTGCTGCAGAGTCTACAGATCGAAAAATTAATATCAGAATTTTGAGAACGAAAAATAAGGCTCCAATGGATGAATAAAATACAATTTGACAAATATTTATATTACTATTTCTATACTGAACTCTCATTGATCTAAAACTCTCATTGATATCAAAAATGGTAAAAAAAGAAAGATGTTGGATTTGGATTTGGATTTGCAAACTAAAATTATAATTACAAAAAAGGGTCACATTATCGTCTACCATGGTGAACATACTGGTCGGGGTAGTTTTGTATTTGGGTGTCTAATTTGTTGTAATGCAATTTTAGTTAATCATTCAATGTCCTGTACTTATAACCCGATCCCAAACCCTGTATTCAGAATAACATATGGATAACTATACTTATTCCAATGACGGGTGTTATGAAATTGTCGACCGATTGTACTACCGGTTCGACTCCCCAGGTAGACACGGACCCTCTGTTATAGTACACGTAATTTTGTACCTATGCAATGAGCGACGAAAACTTTGATATCGCGATTCAGAATATTTCTTTGTGAGACACGTACAAAAGGACCAGATGTATTACGTATCGTATGTGTAGTATTTGGTCCTTTCGTACGAAGATTTGATATTTGTCTAAAAATAATGATTGCATTGATATTTTAATTAATGTTTTCTTTAAATAGTCTTAGACATATTGTATAATATTTAATACTAATTTCAAAGTTCACAAAAAGTATAAATGATCGCGGGATTCGATCTTAAGCTCGATTGCGAAAACACCAACTGCCGTACCAAAAAGGAAAAAGAAGTAAGCGTTGTGTTAACAAGTGGTTTTGAAAATAGCCTAAGATGATACTGAATTGTTGAAGACTTTCTTCACTATAGTTCTAAAATGACATATAGAAGTGACCAGGTAATTGAAAAAAGTAAAAAATCTTACCTTTATTCTCAAACTCCTTGCCATAATGCCTGAGTTCTTCGTACACTTCAGTCTCCATGTCATCCTCAGCCGCTTCGTGCGCCATGGCTTTGTACAGCTTACACGCTACTAGAGACTTGGCCAACGCTTCCTCACCGTGCGTCCACATCAGCAAAGCCATTTGATGTCTTTTTGTTAATACCGCCCACATCTATACCGAAAGTAGATATTTTCATGTTCAAATGTAATTAGGAACATTCATATAGTAGATTTTGTGTGTTCGTGAAGGTATTTTGGTTAATCACTAGCTATGTAATTTGAATAATTATATTTGTTCCATTATTAGTTGAAGGTCAGGATTTCGTTCAAAGTTCGTTCCAAGCTAATGAGGTCTCGCTCACTAGATGGGGATACTGTAGCGTGAGCTCTTGTTTGACCAATCACAGTAGCTGTTAAAATTGAATGTCCAGTGGTTTGGAACTAGCGACTATTCCATTAGACAACATACCTTAGCTCTCTCACTTGCACCACTAGCCACTAGCGGCGAATTAATACGCTTTAGACCTCTTTGATTTAACAGAGGTTTTTAAAATCCTAGTTTTTTCTACTTACAAGTAATTCATTAAAAGGATAGTCGAAGAGCGCCATCTCAGTGGTGACAGGCATGAAGCCGGTGATGAGGGAGAGTCCACCAGCGTTGTGTCTGGTGAACGAGGCACTGTTCCGGTGAACGTTTACACTCTTGTTCATCACCTTCGCGTAAATCGGACGGAACTTACGTCTTGTGTAGTAACATCTGGTGAAAAATAACACGTTTTAATAAACACTGAATATGCACTAGAAATAAAGATGATTATAAACAATCTTAATAAAAAACTTTATAAAATCTTCAATAATAAATATGAAAAGCAGAATAACATTAAAGTTTTACGAGAATTTACATTGGCAATGTTAGAGAAGTTACGATAGATATTTTTTAAGCAAAGTAATAATACTGTTTAAAGCTTTTTCTTTATTGCACTCCGAGATGTATACTTATAGTTGATTACAAAATTACTTCGAATAAAGTTTTAAAATATCTATTCAGAGTAAATAATATAAAAGTTTTTGTAAAAATCTTTTGTAGAATAAGTGATATTCTAAATTGTCTTACCTATAGGCCCCACCCATCAGCTTGTTGATAACGAGTCCAATATCATGCAGGGTATAAACGTACCCTCTTGGCAAGTGTGGTCTGACATCTCTCAGAATGTACCGCAACGTGTTACTGGGACCACTCTTTGTGTTATAAAGCTCTTCTAGTCGAGGGATGGTTAAGAATTTGCGCATTGAAACACCATTTTCTAGTAGCAGTTTCACGAAGTCTATACGATCGTGTTCTAACGCCTGCATCATAGCCTCGTCGAGTGCACCTGGGACAATAAACTTTATGTAAGCATCAAGAGCTGAAATGTTCATGACAAAAACGATTTCTTCAACTATGAAGAAAGTTCGAAACAACAAAATAAAATAATACGAATATACTGATATTAGTATTTTTTTTTGTTATTATCAAGAGAAGGTTCTTATGACAGAAAAAGAAATCCTGGAAATCCTACAGGAACGGAAGAAAACGGGATTGCGCGTACGAATTCGCGGGCAAAAGCTAGTTTAGAATAAATGGTCTATTTAAAATTCGACATTACAGAAATTAACACACACTTTAAAATCCAATTGTTTAATTACAACAAACTGTCTCGTTAAACGGAACATAATTGAAGTTACTACCAATTTTGGTATTATTTTCCTATACTGGCAGTCAGATTTAATTGGAACTAAATAGTCCGTATTTAAAGCTACGCATACCTGAGTAATTAGCTTTACGAGGTTCAGGGTAAGTTACGATTTACCTGTTTATCCGTAGCTAGTTTTAATCACAAACTTGTTGGAGAAACCTACACCTACTGCGGTGGCGTAAGTTATATTATAAATTGAGGTTGTTATCACACAGGGCAATCTGAGAAAATTATACATCGCGAGGAATGATATGATCCTCATTAAGGGCTCATACACAAAAATGCGATACTAAAATTATAGATATCTTTATTATTTTTGCAGAAACGCTATCAAAGTCGACTGCACGGTTGGTGCGGTGGCTGGGCAACCGGCTGCCGTGCAAAGTGTCGCGGATTCGATTCCCGCACGGAACAACACTTTGTGTAATCCACAAATTGTTGTTTCGGGTCTGGGTGTCATGTGTATGTGAACTTGTATGTTTGTAAACGCACCCACGAAACAGGAGATAATTCTAGTGTGGGGCATCGGTTTATTTAAAAAAAAAGTCAATGAAAAATGTCGTGCATACTTACATTTTTCAATAGGAACATATATGCACGACTTTTATTATTAGCCATTTAATTTAATTCCTTCATTTTTGCATTGCAATAAAATCGTGGCGGAATGCAAATAGCCGTGGTCAAGCAATACTCGAGTTCGAGCTCAGCAATTAACCGTACCTCGTACAAGATCGCAAGCAAAGGCAATATTAGCGCAGTGTTTTTATTTCTAGTTTACGTCTTTATATTTTATCCTGAGCTGAATTTTATCGTAGATTGAAGATATTTATAGAATAATAAACGTCGAGTACAATATCATAAGTTTAAATTAAGATTCTGCTTCTATTTAGGTAGAGACACATTAAAGTCTGTTACGGCAGCATAAAATTCACTGCCTCGTTGATCGCGAGAGCGAATGACTTTGAGTTTGATTATTTTTTTGATTTACATAGTCATTATTTGACGTTAATAAAAAGTTAAGAGTCATATCTTAAATTTAAGGGTTTAGGGGTTTTGTGCATTCAGTAAATTTTAGGCAATAACATTTAACTACTGACGTGGGTGTCTCATAGACGACGTGTTCACGAATATAAGAATTTTCCATAAAAACGTCCAAATAATTGTCCAAATAATAGTAGCTAAGATTGTAACAAATAAACAATATTTTTTAAGTTATGCGAAATATTTATATTTTAAGTTTATAGAATTTGAATCAAAAACCGCTGATTTCATTCGAAAATATTGTTTGCACTGCCTTAATAGAATTATAATGGACGGATTATACCTCTAATACAAGTAAATGTTGTGCAAATCAGTAAATAAAAGTAATCCATTTCGATTATTTATCACGGTGTTTGACATACCATTTATGGTATGAGTAAACCACGTCAGGACTTGAAGAATAAGCCGTCTTTATCTTTAGAAGTAAATAGTCAATCATCAAAGAAAGACTACTTGGCACTACCGTTTCAAATAACACGATCCTAAGTCGCGAAGATCTCATCAATCCGCGATTGCAACTTTGCAATTCTCGATAGGATCCATTTATTTATCGGCTCTGCGATTCCACAGAGGAACGTTCAATAATAAATTGATTTAGAGCAAAATTTACGAGATCCCAGCTTTGTTGTTCATCCCAATTTACGTTTGGCTGTTGTGAATTTAGTTAGCGGAAGTGCTTGGATCAATGTGTGAATTTAATGCAGATTTTTGAATGGAAATGGAACTGCTTGTTCTGTTTAAAATATTAGTTTTATTTAAATATTTTATACCTAATTTGCAGGGAAAAAGTTATAAAGTAGATAAAAATAATTCGTGTCTATTGTTTTTATTATTTATTCGATTTCTATTCGATTGGAGTCTAGAATTATGTTCGGAGCTTTGCAATAGATTAAATCAAATTATGCATCATCATCATCATCATTTGTTATCATTATCATCATCAACAGCCTATACTGCCCATTGCTGAGCAAAACCTCTTCTCACACAGATAAGGTTTGAGCATTAATCTCCACGGTTGCTCAATGCGTATAATTAGAAATTATAAGCCCAGATTTCCTCACGATGTATTCCTTCACCGTTTGTTAGTGGTGTCTAAATAATCTTAGAAAGTACATATTAGTACGTATAACTCGGAAAAAGTCATATTGATACTTGCCGATGGTAGGATTCGATCTCGCACTCTCATGACTGAGAATCAGGCATCCTAAACCTCTGGGCCACCACGACATTTACATTATAAATACCATCTGTACCAAAGACTGTTATACGATACATCTGTACCAAAGTCTACCTTATCGAGTGGTAATTAAGCTTAAAGTTACATTATGTGCCCTTTTTTGTAAAGATTGAACATCATCATATAAAACAATAAGTACCTATTAGTGTCAGATTCTTACTGAGCAAAAATGACCCCGTTTCCACTATTGCTCCGAGCCGGGGTCGTGGCATATAGGAATGATAAGCTTGATGTAACAATATGTGCCCTAGTTTCGATTCCATGTCCAGTAATTTATTTGCCTTTTATCCTCGCATTTATTTGGTATTATGGCAACAGGTATTGTGGCTAGAAGCTACTAGTGGTTACCTGTTTCATATCGATATTGAATATTTTACGAGCATCGATCCAATGTACTGCAAGTAATAACATGAAAGCTGCAATTAATACTTGGTTATACTAGAACAATAGGTAGTTGGGACAAGTATCATTATGAAATTTTTTGATACGTGATGGGTGGACTATTCATAGTCAAAGTCCACCCATCACGTATAGCATAGGCTAACACCCTAATGTTACCTATGTTTGCAATTAACTAGTCGAGTACCATATTTATAGACACAATTAAAGAACAATAGGTTGCGGTCACCGGTGACCGCTTGGTGTTTGACAGTTTAATAAATGAATTTGAATTTGTGTTTAACATTTGGCCACTATCCCGCCAGCAGCTGTAGTCAAATGCCATTTAGCGCTGGTCTACTTGTAGAGTAGAAATCTAAATTATATGGAATTGACGTAAATTTTCACTTATCAGTGTTATCCCCATAAATTTTGATTTCTAATCTCTTTGTAGACAAGCGCTAAAGCTGCGTTTGAAAAAAGGCACGCGACCTACGATGGAGTACGTCTGCCCATAAGCAACTTATGCACTCGGGCCTTGAATACATATAGAGTACCCTTCAGGAAACACAGATTCTACCAAGGAATCCTACTAATTAGCAGTTCGTACAAAGAAGCTCTAGCCAGAAACGAACTTATTGATATATTGGTTATCATTAAGTTGAAGGTTTTCATTATACAGAGAGTGTAATTTTGTAATATACAGTAGAGTAGTTAATTATTTTACTCGTATAATATTCTATATTATTTTTGTTTCAATTACTGTAAGCTGGCGATTGAATATAAAACCCTCGGTTTTCGTATACATCAGTCAATATTCATATCCGTGCCAGCTGCGAGAAAAGATACTTGATTTTATTAAATCTATAAAATCGAGCATGTTATCCCTCAAACCGTACATAAAATCAGCCTTTCAATAACAATCGTACATATCTCTGACGAGTATGAATTTGTTACACAAAGTATAAATATCATTTTTAATCTAAATTACCTTCTGCCCGCTACTTCGTACGCGCAATCCCGGTTTTTCCATTCCCGTAGGATTTTCGGGAAATCCTTAGATAAAAAGTGTACTATGTACGTCTCCTGGGTCTAAACTATCTCCCTACCTATTTGTAGCTAAATCGATTTAGTCATTCTTGAGTTATAAATGGTGTAACTAACTTGACGTTCTTTTATATAGGTATTTTATTATTACAATAGAATATATTTAAAGCATGACTATTTAGAACAGACTTCGTAGTTATCTTAACCAAAACTAATAAAGAAAATAACAGCAAATCACGAAACATCAAATAAAACTTGAATGGAGCTTTCTATTTAATGTAACTCCATTGGAATTCGACATGTTACAAAAAGCCACAGTTTCAATAGCGTTTAATATACAGCAGTTCTACCTGCGACCGCGCTAGCAGCCCACTTCTTTAGCATTAGGAAAACCGACAGCCACATTAGTTACTTCAGAGGGAGAAACATTGCCTTTATATTCAGTGGGACTCTGTGAAATGTAGTTAGTTTTAAAAACGGGTAAGAGAAATGTAATAATGATCTAGTTATCGAGTTGCTTTGTGTTAGATATTTCTTTAATGTTCTTCCAAGACTTTTATGAAATAATGAATTGCATAAACTATGAATAGATATTCCTTAAAAAGTTAAATCCAAATTTCACTACCTACCTAAATGAAATAAAGAACAACTTAATTAATTACCTACTCATTAACCATGTTCAATAATTTACACCGTACCGCAGCAGTTTTCGCTAAACAATACCACCACAATAACAAACATTATTGTGCTAGAATAAATAAATATGTATGCAGCAACGAAAATTACAGCTGGATAGAACAATAATTCGCGCTCAGCTGACATTTACATTTTCAGTGTACCAACCAAAATTATAATGAGAACAACTAGTGCATAAAATCGACCTGTGTAAATGAGTAAACGTGAACGAAACTATCAGTTTCCTCCCTAATTGGTT